GACAATTATATAATGAAGCAAGAAGGGTGGCCAGCAAAATTTGCAGAAAGAAAAAACGTGTTTGGGAAAAATCAAAAATAGTAGAGATAGAAGAGTTGGCAAAAGAAAGAGATGTGAGGGGAATGTACCTGAAGATAAAGCAGGAAAAGAATGGCTTTCAAGTAAGATCCCACATGTGTGAAAGCACGGATGGAGAATTGATCACAGAGAGCAGTAGAGTACTAGAGAGATAGGCACAACACTTTGAAGGCTTACTGAATGGCTCAGGTGGAGGAACCAATGAGGATTACGCCCTGCCACAAGGAGGACCGGACCCACTGGTCAAACAACCAACTTTAAATGAAATAAAAGATGTAATCTCCACCATGAAAAATAACAAAGCCCAAGGAATAGACCTTATCCCTGCAGAACTCATAAAGCTACGTGGTAGCGAACTGCATAGGCAAATACACGCCCTCATATCCAGAATCTGGCAGGAGGAAGAAATGCCAACTGAATGGAACACGGCACTCATAATCCCAATCCACAAAAAGGGATCTATGTTGATCTGCTCAAACTATAGAGGTATCTCCCTTCTTAATGTAATGTACAAAATCCTCACAAAACTTAAAGTGAGAAAATTGGACAAGTATAGTGAACAGATCCTAGGGGACTATCAATGTGGATTCCGGCAGAATAGGTCAACCACGGATCATATTTGTACTATAAGATGTCTCCTGGAGAAATGCTACGAATATAACATCGACATACACCAACTATATGTGGATTACAAAACAGCATACGATAGTGTAAACAGGAATTATTTATACAATGCTCTTCAAGAACTTGGAGTGCCCTAACAAGCTTACCCGGCTCAAACACATGACAATGGCCAACTCCAAAAGCAGAATCAAGATTCAGGGAGAATATTCTAGGGAGTTCATAGTTAATCGGGGCCTCAGACAAGGAGATTCACTATCATGTATCCTGTTTAACATCACGCTAGAAAAAGTTATTAGAAGCATTCACATTAGCACCAGTGGAACCATAACAAACTACTTCCAGAGAGATACTACAGAGCAACGACCATCAGGAACCTTATATAGCCAACCATTACAGTACCTGGCATATGCAGATGATATAGCACTACTGGGTAAAAACCGTAATGACGTAATTAAAGCATTCAGGGAACTTGAAAATGCCTCATTCAAAGCTGGCCTTGATATAAATGAACCGAAGACAAAATATATGATAATGTCAAGAAACTTCCATGCTGATAATAACATCAATATAAACAACCACAAATTTGAGAGAGTGGCCACATTCAAATATCTAGGGGCAACTATAAACGAGCACAATGAGATAATGACAGAGGTGAAAGAAAGGATAACAGCAGGCAACCGTTCATATTTCAGCCTACAAAAGCTACTGGGTAACAAAAACTCTCAAGGGAAACAAAGAAGACAATATACACCACCATCATAAGACCTGTAGTAACGTACGCTAGTGAGACCTGGACCCTCACCAGAAAAGCAGAGAACCTGCTCAACACATGGGAGAGGAAAATCCTGCGCAAAATATACGGACCAGTGTTAGAAAATGATACCTGGAGAATACGTACAAACCAAGAACTTTACGATTTGTACAAAGAACCACCCATAGTCACAATGATAAAAAAAGGCAGAATACGCTGGGCAGGTCATGTTGAAAGGATGCCGGAATGCAGAGCAGCCAAAATCATATACAGGCAGAAGCCTAGGGGCAGACGACTCATCGGTCGCCCAAGGATGAGGTGGATTGATGATGTGGAGACAGATTTACACCAGTTGGGGGTTCGAGCATGGAGACGGAAAGCCATGGATCGCTCCGAATGGAAGGATGTGGTGGAGCAGGCCAGGGCCCTACATGGGCTGTAGTGCCATTGATGATGATGATGATACAAACAAATAGTTAAATATCAAAGTTTGTGATTGTTTTATTAAGCAAATGTTCAAAAAAAGAATTTTTAAAAATTAATTTATTTTTGTTTCTCTTCAAATATAAATTAAAACCTGATTGACTAAAGATGGATAGCATACTAAATGTAAAAAAATAATTAAATTAGTAATAAAAAGTTTTTAGTTATTTCTTTAATATGCTTAGAAGAAACAAATTTGCAGGATGTTTGAGTTAATATATAATTAAATACAGGTAATGTGAAAAATCATGAACTTAATATTTTTATTTTAAAAATAATTTTAAGTAGTACCTGGATAACTAAGGCAGCATCAGGGCCAATCTTTGGGTGCACATATTTCCTAGCATATCCAATGTACTGAAAAAATTGTCAATAAATACCGGTTTCTTTCCATGTACAAGAGTTCATTAAATTTCTAATTAATTAAGGAACAACAGGGTAATTTTTAAATCAAGACTACGCTGAATATTACCGTCTAGAAAAAATTTGGTTTTGGCCACCCCAAAAATGGTTTTGTGCATCTACAACAGATGTGCTTATTGTATGCTAACGATGGTTTTGTGCATCTACAACAGATGTGCTTATTGTATGCTAACGATGGTTTTGTGCATCTACAACAGATGTGCTTATTGTATGCTAACGATGGTTTTGTGCATCTACAACAGATGTGCTTATTGTATGCTAACGATGGTTTTGTGCATCTACAACAGATGTGCTTATTGTATGCTAACGATGGTTTTGTGCATCTACAACAGATGTGCTTATTGTATGCTAACGATGGTTTTGTGCATCTACAACAGATGTGCTTATTGTATGCTAACGATGGTTTTGTGCATCTACAACAGATGTGTTTATTGTATGCTAACGATGGTTTTGTGCATCTACAACAGATGTGCTTATTGTATGCTAACGATGGTTTTGTGCATCTACAACAGATGTGCTTATTGTATGCTAACGATGTACAACAGATGTGCTTATTGTATGCTAACGATGTACAACAGATGTGCTTATTGTATGCTAACGATGTACAACAGATGTGCTTATTGTATGCTAACTTATTCCAATTTTTTGTTGGTCTACCATTCACTGATTGTTGGTTGTGCCATCCACTATTGTTAACACAGGATATGAAAGAATAAAAGAGCACAGCGCTACAGTCCATGCATTCTGCGTCTCACCTTCCTAAGGAGCTGGTGAGGTATAGGATCTGTTATTTCAGATCTGGACAGTTTCAGCCGTTCACTGAGGGGCTTATCCAGCTCCCACTGAAGTCTAGACTCACTCATTACACTGCTTCTGACCGCCGGAGATGACATAATGGCTCTGTCAGAGAAAAGATAAATTTTAAAAATTAATTTTAAGTTTAACAATAACATTAATTTTATTTTAAAGCAGTTGAAAAATTGCTAACACTTATAAAGAAACTGTTAAAAATTTGGTGGCTTTAATATTTGACAAAAAAAAAAACAGATTAAATTTAAAATTATGTTTGAACTCTGAATGTTGGCCTTTCAAATATTTTTGTTGTCAAGAACTTTTTGTTTTCATCACAAACTCTTAAATAAATGGAAATATTTTAAACACAATGTTAAATTCAGTATTTCAAATTTTAACAAGATGATAGCCAGTGATTAAAATCTACTAATACCTTACTAACTGGTTCCCAAATTTTTTTTAATGACGTTTTAAAAGTCCTACCTTGACGTACCAGCATGGAGGGACATGACGTACTCTGATAAAACGCAGTCCATTTCCTGGAATCATTGAATATTTAATTATTTAAAATCAATTACATCTTAACAGGTTGATTTTTTTTAATAATATTTTTTTTTACAAATTTATCTCACCGTAATTAGCCATTATATGAAAAGGCATAACATAAGAATTTAACTGCCAAAATACCTCATCTGGTTTATCCAACATTATGAAGACCAAGTCAAACCTTGACAAGAGAGCACTGCCCATTCTGAAATTTGATTAATAATTTAAACGTTAATTAGATTTTGAAGTAAAATCTCTATTCTAAATTCATGTTATTTATATTTTAACACCACATAACCTGTTCAAATTTAAATAGCCTCATGGCAACTTTTAATTTTTGGCAAAAGAAAACAAAAACATTACCGTAACTGTAATCTAAAAATTTAATTAAAATCACTTTTTGCTTCCCTCTTAGCCAGTGTCTTGTTAATTAAGAAGACACAAATGAGACAACAGTCATAATGTGCAGCACAACAAGAAAATTACAAAATGTAGAAATTAAATTAAATGAAAAAAATCACCCACTTAAGCTACAACTCCAAAAATATGTCATCTTATTATAGTAATAAAAGGCAGTGGTCAACCCCTGGAGACAATAAATAGAGGGCGCAACAAGGTATGCTGGCTTAAAATCCATATTATTATATTTATAAAAATGTCTGTGTGTGATGTCCCTGTTCATGATACATTTTCAACAGATGCTCAGTCAGAAGATCAAACTCTCCCAAAATTTAAAATTTCTCCTCATAAACCAAATAATACTAATAAGATCTGTTCCAGCTTTTAAGGAGTTTAAGTAATAGTTACTTGAGATTTTCTGAGACAGTCTTTGCCTTGTTGTAGTGTCCACCCACTGGGTTAGCAGCAGCAAGTATGGAGCACCTTGCTGGTAAACTGAGGATAGATTAGAAATAATATATTACAAAAGCAAAATAACCTTAATAACAGCTATTCAAAAACTTTATTTTACATTAAGGTGAACCATAAGTGCAAAACGGACGCATGAGATTTTATTGCTTAGTTTTGCTAACAAAACCAATGCAAGAAGAGTCTAAAATTTTGGATCTTACATTACGTACAAACTGCCTCCTCACTGCTGTCTTTCTGGACCACAGATATCAAAATAGATTTACCGCTGGCAAAGATGCTATACTAAGTTCAACAAAATATAAATATCAAAAACTTTTCTGACATTTCCACCCGCATCCCCCATTATATAACTCACCTACAAACAATTCCAGCTTTGGCAATGCTGATACTCTGTTGCTCCTGTTCAGAGCAACAACAAAAAAAAAAGAGTAAAATTATTTTGTTTAGTTAAGCTAATAACCAAACTCAGCATTTTCTTCATGTGAGCTAAATGACCCAGAGTTGATCCCAGCATATCTCTTGGGGTCACAAAAACTTTTTTTTAAAAAAGGACTTTATGTTTTTTTTCCCAGGCATTAACAACATGGAAAGGGAGAGGGGGGGGGGAGATATTGGGCACAGAAGTTTTTAAAATAAAAAGAAAGTGGGAATCCGAAAAAGAAATAATTTGGAAAAACTGACTTTGATATCTAAATATTTTGTCTAGTGACTGTTTTCTTTATTGGGCATCCACCAAAAGATAAAGTTCCTTCATTACAAGATATATAGGCTACATATTTATATAGATATATATTTGTCAAGATCCCAGCCATGACTTTAAAATTTTTAAAATGTTTGGTATCTTCTGCTTTTAGCTTTTAGTTTAAAAGTACCATAGAAACTTAAATTGTTATACTTTTAAATGCTGATCAGCACACAGTACTGATGTTCATTTGGACAAAAAGTTGATATGTCAGCTATGACAAATAACTCTTCATTTTTTTTTGTTGCTAAACTTATTAGTGTCAATGTCTACTTCTTCTGGATATCAAAATAAGAATTTATGTTTAGAACAGGGATTAGGGAAATTTTTGGAACAAATCTCTTTTCATAGCTGTAAACTAAATAACACTTAATTCAATGTGTTTGATATTTTGTATTTTGATTCAACTTTCATTTCTATTCCCACTTTTTATCAAAATCAAGGCTATCAAACTATTCGTTCTCAGGAAGTAATTTTGAAGTCATTTTCCATCTGGACAAGTTTTTTCATACACCAGAATTCAAATCATTCCAAATAAGCTCTTTGGGAGGCAAAGATGCAATGTCAAATCTTCTAACTAACATAGCAGTGATAAATGACAAAAGTTGCAGACTGAAACTTAAAAATATCAATAAAATGCATAAGTAACCAGCTACAACAATGCCAAAAAATGGTCCTACCATGGCCTCAAGCAGTGCCTGGTGTTGAGATGTCATCTTATCAAATTCATCTATACAACAACAGCCTTGGTCAGCCAGCACTAGGGCACCAGCCTCAAGGGCATAATCTCCAGAACCACCTTCTTTGGATAATGTTACCTGAAGATAAAAATCAAAAGCGGATGTTTCTATTTGCTTCAACATTAATTAACCAATTTAAAAGAAGTCAGCTGATTCTGATGATTTAATTATGGCTTTGTACTTTGGACACATCCCGTGGAATCCCACCATCTTACTGGGGAGTTGATTAAATTTGGAATGACAGAACCAGCACTTTGCCAGAAAATAGATCTGGATTTGAAATATTAAGTCAAGCACAATATATTCATAGCACCCCCATAATCTACTTTAGGATAAACTCAATTTTCTCTACTATACAAAATGAGATGAGCAATTATTTTATTGTAATAATAATGTTAAATCAAACCCCGTGAGGCTTTTCCTCAATCTCAGTTGAGATGTAGTTAAAAAGGTTACATTCATGCGAGGCTTGGAATGTAGTACTAAGTGGAATGCCTCAGAAGTACTATTCAAGAGTAAAGTAATAGTTGCAGGAATATGGTATAATTTTTTTAAAGACCTCCTATGTAACATTGACATATTAGCCCCGTTTTCCTTGAACAGATTATTACCGTAAGACCAGATGTGGTGGTAGTGTTACCACAGACATAAACACTGCGCGGAGCGACTGATGCGGCGGCTTGGAGCATTTGACTTTTGCCGAGGCCGGGGTCCCCAACAATCAAAATGTGGGGATCCCCTCTCACAGGAATCCGGTTCTGAAAAAATAAAATACTTTATCATTAGTTTGGAAATATTTTAAAATTAGTGCTTTTGGGCATGTGTAACTGGACAGATATAAATTAGAGCTGTTAGTTGTAAAAACCCACATGTGGACCTATACAAGATGGGGGGGGGGGGGGGGGCGGCGTTGCAGTATATTTGATATCATTGCAAAGGGATCCATTCAATGAGCTTGACCAGTAATTAAATTAAACCACTACTTAGCTTGATCAGTAATGAACAGGAACGTTCCATTGAAACCACAAAATAAAACGTACTCTACAAATACCCAAGGATATAACATGCGTTTTTCTTACCAAGCTACCAGACGTGACCAATGAAATAACAAAGGGATAATTAGCTCTTTACAAGTAGGTTATCTTAATTCAAATAGAGGGGTAATATGGACCCGTGCGGACCTACAGGAGGACAACTGTGTCAGAGTCAGAACAAAGAGGAGGGGCGCAAGTTACCTACTGGTCAAGTGAGGGTTAATCCCAGTGCATGAGTGAACAGTCTTATTGAGGTCACAACACAACTCTTTGAGAGTTCCGCTGTTTAGCTAGCAGAGAGAAAAGGAGAGCTGTCCACGTGTTCATCATGGAATGGTCAATCACAGGGTGGAATGGTCAATCACAGGGCATGAGTGACACTAGCCTCAATAGTTCCCAGCACACAGCATTGTGCTACTATTGATTTAAGTGTATGTGTATACGTGTTATAGGCTGGGTTTTACCTGAGCTCTCACAGCTCATGGTGACAATTAGAGCATGTGTTACAATATTACTAATAAGTGGTACATTGCCACTCCATTACAGAAAATATGGTGAAAAAATGAGATATTGAGTAAAACTTAACAATGGGACAGGTTTTAATATTGTTATACGAAATATGACATGAATCATGTAACTTACTTTGCACCCGTAATTTTATTTTGTTCACCCTTTGCAGGGAAATCACCTAAAAAAAAATAATTTCTTTCAGGGTGGTGATAAAACTACTTAATACTTAAATTCTTGATGGTCAATGACAAAAATGTTCAAACCTTATCATTGGTGAACTTCTGGCTCCCTCCAAATAAACAAAGAATCAAAGCGGCTTTCACCATCTGTGGATCAGAGAAAATAAGCATTATAGCGGTTATTGTAGTCTCGTATGTACAAAAGAAATTGAAATAAAAATGACCTCATTTGAAATGTTAAACAGCAGGTGTTGTTCTCATGGATTGGTAGCATCACTCAGAGTACGAGGCAATCAGCTTACCTCATGACCAAATATACTTGGACAGAGAGATCTGTGGAAAATATAAATTTATTATGCACTGTCTTGAATATTAATTTATAAGCTGTCTCTTAATTATATTCCACACTAATGATACAAGTCAACATGGAGTAAAAGACTAAATGTTTTAATTGTCAATATAATGAAGAACAAAAGATTACAAAAACATCTAAAAATAAATACCAAGATGATTTTTACATCTCAATCCAAACACTATTGTATTTGTTAAATGATAAAATTATTGACAGAGATTGCCCCTGGCACAAACAAGATGCTTGTTATGTAATCCAACATGGGAAAATGAACAACAATGTAAAGAGAGCACTCACCCAACCAAAAGTTGAAAAAGATTTTCTTGGCTCTGAATTTCTTGAATGGCATAGAGCTCTTTCATGGTAAAATCCATGGCCAGCCCTGAACCAGTTGACTCTCCTGAGTTTCGCTTATTCCCTTTGGTGTTGTTCACACTGTTACCATGAAGATAAAGTAGGAACATGCACTTATCATTGTTCCTTCCACGACCTGAAATGTATATGAATCTCCTTTTTACAAGGGGATTTCAGGTCATTCACCCACTATAAACTCAGCAGGTATTACAGAGCATGGATCTTAATTGCAACAACATTTTGAGTGCTAAAGTTTTAAGGATAATAAAGTTTTAAGTATGATGAGACATAAAAAAGATTCTGAAATCAACATGCCTTCATCGACACTGTTCACTTTGACTGTTCCGGTCACTGTCACTATATCACCAGGTACGCATGAGTCAACTGAGATGATAAGAGAAAATAATAATTAAAATAATACTAGATTTTCAATAAAAGGCCTAGTGATTTTGTCTTGCGAAGTCTGCACCATCGTCACATTGTGATGGACGGAAAACCAGAAAAAAAACAAAGTCATATTTATTTTCATAAAGGTAATTTGAGGCACTCCTAACTTTTTTTTTTTAAAAAGGGTCGAGATTTTGATTCTCTTTAACAAGAGTCAGACTTTATTTGATACATGGTTACAAAAGTGCAAATATTTCTGGTCAAATAAGAAAAAATGCCATAAACTTACCCAAATCTCTGGTGAGCTCACAATCAATGGTACGTGGTATCCTACCAGAATCTTTCTGACTGTCCGACATGATCTCCTGTACTCTTGTAACAAATAATGTGAAATGTGAATTCCTTACAAAAAACTACCCCCTCCCACCCTGAAATGTTTTGGATTACCCTTAATATGTAAAAGGTTTTTTCATATTTATACACTCTAAATGGACTTTAGTGAGCTGGAGCTCCCGTCAGTTTCTTTCAGCTTAGCTTTCAAAAACATTAAAATTTAATTTTCGAACCTGATAGTCTGCCAATCAATGGTTTCTGTAAGGCTATCACCCCTGCATGGAAGAAATGTACGCCCTCTGCATCCATCTGCTACACACTGTTGGTTACAAAAAATACACTACTGAATATGAAGTCTTTGTCACAAAAATTATATTTTACTAGGTTTCATTTACTTCATACTATATGAAAAATAAAACTGAATTTAGCCAATCTCAAGAATGTGTGGTCTGAGCTTAACAGAAACAACAGAAACTCAAGTCCATTAAATTGTGAACATGTAGAGTAATGGCCATAACATGCATTTTTAAATTCATAAAAATAAGTAGCAAGTGTTACTGTACAGGATTTTACCAGTATTACCTGTGTGCCGCATTAATAAAAATTGTTAATTTCTTTCAATCATTAACTTTTATAGTCTTTAGTACAAACAAGAATGAAAAAAATAAACAGTCAACAATTTACCTTTGTTGGCATAGCGTACTTTCCATCTGGCAGGGGAATAGCCTACAAATATACAGTAAAAAAAATTCTTACCCTATAGTTTTTAAAATCAGTAGCTAATTATAAAAGGGTTGGACTGTGATGAAGCTTTAGGAAGGTTAATGGGACACAAATAAATTGTGGAAATAAAACAATACATGTCAAGCTTTAGTTATGATTATACAATATACAAATTGAAAAATTTCGGCAAATTGCTTCATCAGTACAACAAAAAATTTATATAAGTACAAATTAAATTGACATAATGTATATGTTTATCATGCATATACCTAAAAGAATGAAAGCAAAGAAAAGAATAATAAAATCAAATGAGTTGCAACATTTATGTTACACCAACATTTACAGTGACTGGATGAAAACAGACATTTGAGGTTTAAAAAAATATCATAATCCACCAAGACAATGAAAAAATCATTCATCTATTTGACTTATACCTGAATATCTGAGCAGCTAGCACACTGGAATGCCATCTTGGTGCACAATGGCTTGATATTTCCTACTCTCACAACTGTGCCTTTTACACTCACAAATTTACCTGAAGATTATTAGATGGCAATTTATTGACAGACACAACAGTTAGAAATGATTTAATGTTGCTGCTTTAAGTACAAACTTATTCTAAATTAACAACAGCAGTCATATTCATTCCAATCAGGTATGTAAAGACAAAATTAGGTAAAATTATAAACCTGCCTCAAGGTAAACTATAAATGTCTGGAATACAAGAGACTAACACCGCTGGGGAAGTATGTTTGTTTCATGAGTAGGGCTCTCCAAATACTAATGGCTTGGATCAGATGAAAAAACATTAATAAAAAAATAAAAAAACTATTTATTAAACAAAATAAATTATTGGTTGACTATATTTCTGATTTAAAAATTGTCTATGTTTAACACAAACTTCAAAGAAATTTAACTTTCCAGAAAAGAATTTCATAATTCTCAATACAGCTTAAAACTAGGGCTGAGATTGGCACAGCCCGGAATACTATTAGCACACCCCACTCATACCCAGACCCAGCAAAAAATGGAACTGGTTCCTGGTGTTTTAAAAAAAAAGAGTTATCTTCTCATTTTCTATAATTTGTTAATGGTTGTGCCCTTTTCTATATTGCATTTTCTATATACAATTAAAATTTCACAATATATTGATATAAATGTTTTTAAAGAAAATAATATGCAAATGTTGGTATCAGCAAAATGTTAACTGCTACCTACCAGTGACCAGCAACACTAATGCATGTAGCGAAGCTCAGCTTGATTATTTGTTATGTTTATAAGTTAAAGCAGGATTTTTATGTGTAACATATGCACTTTTTAAATTTTTTGAATCTTTCTTTTAAAATTTAAATATTATTTACAGTGATAGGATTCTGATGCCTCCCTCTTTTTAACACCTGTTTCTCAATTTCAAGATAAAAAGGTTGAGAACACCTAGGTTAGGCTTATGTTATTAAGCTATTTGCGTTTTGAAGCCTTCAACTTTTATGCCTTTGTAATTGCTACTGGTTCTTTATACACATGCATTTTTCAATTCTCCCCATCTGGAGGAACACATTATAATAATAGAAAAATGATAAGATAACTCTTTGTTTTTGTAACCCAATGGGGATTGTCTCAATATATCTGGCTTAAAAAAACTGCAACATTTGTATCATCTTTAGATTATTGAATCTTTATTAATAAAATTGATCTCTTCAGAAAGAAAGTTTAATTTGATTGAAAAATGCAAGCAGACTCAATATTGTTCTAATCTTAATCTCTAACCCAAAATCATAATGTCTTGCCACTTGCATACTTGTAAACAAATTACAGTCAGGGCATATATTAAGAAGTTTTGAGTCACCTGACCAAAAAATACTTAGAGTAAAGATTTAATATTTCAGAAATTTCACTTGAGCATTAAACAGCATGAATAACAATTTTGTTTCAATATGCTTACTACTGACCATAGCAGTTAGCTTTGAAGTTTTTTAGAGCAAGGGGTGACCCAAAGTTAAGTACCCTGGGAAAAATGTATGGAGAGCAGTAATTTGTGGTGTCGTGTTGGGGTCCACCAAGCTCTTCAAGGACTGCACTTGCCTCTTGTTGATGCTTGTGGGAGACAATCTATTTATAAACAGATTTAATTTGGTATTATGTCCTACAATTTCTCATTCTTTGAACAAAATACTTTAAATTGTTTCCAATGTTAAATCAACCACTGAATGTGTGTCATGTAGTAGGTAAACTAAAAATAATCCATTTGTAGATTACAATTACAATGTAGAAGAAAGCATTTTAAAAAATTGTTTAAGCATTGAAAATATAATTTCACATTTTTCAGAATCACCTATCTGAACAAATATTAAAGGGCTCACCTGATGCATTGCAAGCCCCATACATGCTAAAACTTTGTCAGGGGAATCACGGAGCTCTGTTTCCATATGCACATAGCCATCCTTAATGACTGATAAAAATGTCTAATCAGTTGTGGACCAAAATAAAAACTTCTGCTTGGTTTGCAAAGGTGTAGAATAATTATGGATGTGACAATACTGATACATGGTAGACTTTTAAGTTATTGGCATAATCATGAGGAATGAAATTATAAGTCTTACTTTGGCATGCTAATACCAAAAGGTTTCCAACCATTGTTATGGAGTATGCACAGCTAAATTCAACTCAATAGAAAATGTTTGCTTAATGGGACCCGCAAAGTAGAACACACACTGTGTGTTAACTTCATCTGGGTAATATAAATTATAAGTAAAAAATTGAAGTTGATTGTTCAGGGAACCATTTTAAAGTCATTTATTCTTGTACAGTAAAAAAAATTTTCATAAACAAGATTTAAGTTAATATACATTCATTCTGCTCCTGCTTAAATTACTGCCTTACAAAGCACATGAGCAGCCAATATTTACAAAATTTAGAAGGGAGAAAGAGACTTTAAAAAACTGACTTTGATCTGCATACAGCTCTTTATAGTCCAGCACAAAAAATCCTTTCTGTTCAATATCATCCTAAAAAAAAAAAGGTTCATTTTTTATCAATTTGTTTAAATTATAGACCAAGGATGTCACTTTTAATGTATTCCCCCCTTTCATAACTATCCTCTCCCTATTCTGCTACCCTCCTCTTACTACCACTACCTACCTACCCCTTTAAAAAATTGAATTTTTTTTAAAAGACCCACATTTAAAGACTTTACCAGACAATGACAGCTTACCCAGTCAAACAACTTATTCCAGCTCACAAAATATTTCTCAAAGACTTGAACTTTTTCCACTATAGGTGAATGATCTGAATACATCTGATCAGGAAAATATAAATTCCACCCAGCATATGGCGAGGTTATCTGCAGTTTGGTCTGCACTTTTTGTGGAAGGTATGGTCCAGGCGGCACATTGTCCATTAGTATAAGAGCTGGATTTGTAGATTGTGAAGCTGACGAATGCACTGCAAAGTATTATGGATAGTCTGCCAGTTATATTTGGGTTATTATTTTGATTTTCTTCATCATTAGCAAAATTAAGATAAATGATGGATGTCACTCATAATTATTCTCTAATTACCGGTATGTAAAGCATGTATAAAATATATCCACTGAAGTTTCTTAATTTCCAAATACAATATACAACATTCTCCCAACTGAGAAACTATTTGCAAGTAAAAACAAAAGTAAATTTACCAAGTGTTTGGTTAATACACAGTATTAGTTTTAATATTATTATAATTAACTTTCTACAAATGTTTTAAACTGAATTAAGAAGTAACATTAACAAAATAAAATTATCAAGTTATGCACAAACAAGTATTTCATTCAAAATGTTCACACTCTAAGCCCCATCATCGTAATCAGTATTAACAGCTGTTTAAACACTCTTTGAGTAAGAAGGAAATACATTCTAAAAATTTTTGTTTATAAAGTTGGTCTCTTAACATACGTTCCAACTGTGGATATTTACTGAGATTCTCAGATTTATGCTACCATGTGCTATTCACTGAAACCAAAGAAGGGGCCAGCAAGTTCCATTTTCCATGACCTTTTAGAGTTCAGGTATATTATTGGTTGGCCAATATACAGACACAATACGGTCAAATATTTATCATTAAGCATGTGTTTTCATGTGTTTACATATGTCAGCTCTGTGTGAACACATACATGGGACATTAGTGTGAGTGGATTCTCAGCATAGATTCATATCTAAGATGATTGGCTGCAACAGATCTGCAGTATGAATGTACCTTTATAGGCATCTTTCCTATTCGATATAAGCCAAATCGCATTAGCTATTTTGATTGTAATTGACAAAGTTTATTATGTCAAAATGTACTGATTTATATTACTCTAGGGAAAAAAAAAAAAAAAACTCAGACAAAGACTGAACAAACATGTGCAATGCAATCAAAACAAATTTTCATTTGTTTGGATCAACAAAAGCATCTTATGTTATCTTATTTGATTTACCATTATTGGCATTGTTATTTCCTCTGCCAGCGCCTCTGCCATGGTTAAAATTGTTGTTACCACCCCTCCATCCTCTATAGTTGTAGTTTCCTCTCCCTCGACCCCTCCACCAACTTTGACCCTGCCCTCTGTTTCCACGCCATGAGCCTCTTGCACCTCTGCTGCTCTTTGACCCTGTTGATGCTGACTGAGTTCTATCCATCATTCCATGTCTATATGATATCTCTGAAATTGTAGGCCATGAATGTAACAGTTAGCGGTTATTAAACTTATACTCATATACTATGTAGGGAATTCTAATACAGTACAGGGGTACTCATACCCCTGGGGGTCCAGAAGGCAATGCCAGTGGACGTGGTTGCTGGAAGACCCAGAAAATTTTGAAGTAAAAACAAAAAAAAATAATAATAATTTTTAACATAAAAAATAAAAACTGTAATATAATTAATACAATTTTCTTTTAAATTTAATTATGGGTTCATATTTTTATAATCAGATTAATTGTAAATATATATATATATATATATATATATATATATATATATATATTTAAAAATAACATGAGTAAGGTTATTGAATTCGAAGGGGCAGATCAGAATATGTCAACAACAACAAAATCTGTTATAATTTAACACAGCGGTTCTCAACCTGTGGGTCGCGGCCACTTTTACTTTTGGGGTCGAACGATTCTTACACAGGGTCGCCTATGCCTAAGCCTAAGCTAAGACCATTCCATTGTTGATTGGAAAACATATGACATATGAAGTAGCAACGAAACTAATTTTATAGTCATGTTGGGAGGGTGGGGGGGGGAGGGGCACGACAACACGAGGAACTGTATGAAAGGGTCAAAGCATTATCATTAGGAAGGTGAGGACCACTGATTTAACATATGATATCTTGAGGGCCCACGATCAATCATTGAATTGATTCATGATTGATTCAAAATTGTAAAAAAAAATATATATAAAAAAATGAATAATTTGGTAAATTCAGAGAGAGCTTTCTGATTCTGGCTCCTACTTATGTAATATTCTAATACAATACTACTTAACTTAACTTACTTAACTAAGTTGGTATTAAAATATTTGAAATGACACGAAATAACATACAATATTTTATCCCAAACCAAATCACCCGCAATTTTTTTTTAGGAACTCTTTTGAATTAAAAATTTATTAGTCTCTCTAAATGTCTATATTGATAAAAAAAAATATTTTTTTTTAAATTCAAAATAATTTTAATGTACCAGAACAATTCGAAAAAAAAATTCAAGAAAGAAAAGACCGTGGATCGTATGGTAGACTATAGTAGACTGACAATCATTCTGCAAGTCTTTAACCATCATCGATTCTGAAAACTTTCATATAAAATATTATTTTTTTTCATTATGACTTTTTTTTCCCCCGATCCTATGCCAGGAGGGCATCTTATATTAAACATCCTATTCCTAATGCCAAGAAATTAGCCGAATTACTTTTTAAAAAGAACCAAAAAAATGTATTTATTTTCGGAGCAAAATAGTCTTTTTATTTTATTTTTTAAATATTTTAAGTCTTATTTTTTTAAACAAATAAACACTGTTAAGAAACAAATAGGCAGACTGTTAATCAAGTGTTCCCTTAATTCCACCATGATAAAAATATCATTGTCCAGGCATTCGAGCTGCATCATAGTACGAAGGGAAATTATGAAAGCGAAAGGGAAAATCTTGAAATATAAAACACAACAATAATACAATCATTTCCACTGAGTGCCTTCTTCCGCGAAAAGAACAAGAGAAAAGATAAGATAAAAATGACTTAGCTTTAATGGAGCTTATAGCTAAAATAAAATTATGCTCTTACATGACGGCCTGCTTGAATTTCATTGGATTAATTAAAACTTAAAGATAAAAAATGTAAGCTGTAGCTTTGAACCCTTACACTTACTATAAGTTTAAAGTTTAGGTTATTTACATTTTATAAAAACACAACTATGTTAGTAAAGTTATATAATAAATAATAGAAGTAATAATAACAAATATTATAGCATACCTTAAAAATAATATCAATTACTTATCGAAAAATTAACTTCTTTTGAAAGAATAGTCTACTTCCTAATTATTTTTTTAAAATTATTAATCTAAAAAAATCTCTTAGTAGTTCTAAAAATGTAATAATCTGTCAACCGTATTACTATTGAAATAATCATATTTTTTTTTAAATAATGTAGCGAATGTGTAGTAACTTCAATTATGCATTAAATAATTTGAGTGTTAATCTTTTCCTGTACGTGCTACCATTAACTGGCAATGTATTTCATTTCAACTTTACTTTTGTGTGTGTTTACGCAGTGCGGTGGTCAATTGACTGGGGTAGGCTGAGTAATTAATTAGGTCTACTAAATTGCCTTTGACTTTGTTAATTTTACAATAGAATTCATTTTTTTTTTTATGATTCCGTTGATGAATTTATACTGTGTAGTTCGCTTTTGCTTCTTACTTGCGATTCATCATGGCTCGAGAAGAGAGTCAACTCTTACTTATTACTAATAACTTATTACTCTTACTCTTAGATTCTTAAGTCTTACTTAATTTATATTATTAGTTTAGTGATATTATTAAAAAATAAAACACATAATGTGACATAATTAATCTTCTCATAAAACTTTTAAAAAATTTAAATATTAATAGTAATAGGCCTAAAATAGCCCTAATTAAATATCAAAATCTGAATTAGTAAATAGTTAAATTTAAATAGCTTACCGTTACACTTAATTACCATTAATTCTGAGTTGTAAACCAAATATGGTTTAGCCACTAACAGCTAGCCACTATTTATAAGTGTCAAATTTTCAAATATTATCCAGGGAAATCACATCACAATCCAGTCTTTGAGACTCCCTGGTAAAGATGGCATGTCAAATTTCTGTAAGTTATTTATTAAAATTCAAAGTCCTGTTAGGCCTATATTCTTAAGTTTAAAAACTGAAGGTTTGGACCAGGGTGTCTAAAAGGTAAAAGGCCATTTAAAATAGCAACTTTTAAGACCTTAGTGTAAGTCCTTAAGCTAAAGTTATGATTTTAAAAATGTTTAACAACATATTTAGACATAATTTCAATAATAAGTTTGCAAAACATATTCAACTAGGCATAGCCCGCCAAACATTGGCGACGGCAATGCATGAACTTCCCATCTACTAAAGTTACTTGGTAAAACATGAACTCAAGTATCGCACATTTATGAATCCCAATTTTTGCTAACCCACCCCCACACCACCACACCCCCCCCCATATGTCACTGCACACTTTTTTTTTGACACCCATGAACTATATTAAATATTCTGAAGTCCCAAACACTTTTAAACTGAATATTTTTTTTACACCATACTTAAATTGAGATGATTTCATTTATCGAAAAATATTATGCACCAAACGAAGTTGCGTTATTAAAAAATATAAATGATTTAGCATAGTTATCGGGAACTATATTTAGCGCGCCAGTGAACTATATATAGCCTGCGTGGTGGTGGTGTTTGACCTTTGCTGGTGAATTATATAATTCAATCATTTGTTAAAAAGTTATTTATTTATTTTTTTAAATTTCCAATTTTTCACGAGTCTCCCCATAATATTTTTCTTTCCATTTTCTTAACAATTGTTGTTTTTTTTCTTTAAGCTGTCAGCCTAATGTTATGCCATAACTTATGGTATCATTTTTACCATATGAAGAATTGGACCTTAGACTTAATTTATTTTAAAAATCACATATTTTGTTTTTTTTAAAGCTGGATAATACATAATTGTTATATCAGATTTACATAAGATAAAATCTGAAGAAAATCTGATTTAAAAAAAACTTGTTAAAAATATAAAACTTAAGGAAGAATGTTTAAAAATATTTATTTTTTTCTTTCCGAACAGCCAAAAGGTAGTGGAGATCATGCACGAACAGTTGCAAATCACTACAATCAGTTGGAAGAGGCTGGCCTTGCCCAGAGGACTCTCAGTCGCATTTTCTACCTCAGAAATTTTAACAACTGGATCAAAAGTGTACTTATTGGTTAGTGGGAATGGGATGTGAAAATAAAAAGAATGTTACCATGTATTTTATGCATCTTAGATATACTCTGTGTATATAATATTTGCAATACGTAATTCACTGTCATTTGAAGCCCCTTATACATATTCCCTATTTTTTCACTTACCTTCAGTAGCTTAGAGTATCCATGGTAACTGTTGTTTTTTTTTTGGCTGCGACTATTCGCACCTGAATATCAGAAGTGAGAGGTTGGGATTAAAAAAACTATTTAAAATATACGCTATTCGGACCAGGGTCCCTTTAGACTAAATCCCATTCGGATGTCATTTGTGTAATTTAGTTAATATAGTCCACTCAATTATCTTTCATTTGATACCTCATTTTGTTTTACAAAGCCAACAATAATATTTTAAATAGCTTTTTAATCCCAACCTCTCACTTCTAATACCTGGGTGCGAATAGCCCCTTCAGTTTTTTTTTTAATCTCTTTTGGATATTACCTTATTTATCTCTTAAAGTAAATAATAAATTGAAATAAATTTGTTCTTTATTGATGTTTCTGTAGCTGAAAACTTGAACAAGCTCAAGGACTCTGATCCTCACAAAACTATCTCAGTCCTAGATTTGTGCTCAGGCAAAGGGGGTGACTTGTTAAAATGGAAAAAGGGCAGGATTGACCATTTAATCTGTGCAGGTAACAGTAAATAATATCATAACACTAGATGGTTTGGGCTGTAAAGTTAGAGTTGATGGTCTGTTGTTGTTGTTTTGTTTTTTTTTCTATCATTGTGAGTTACAAAAAATATTTAAATTGTACCTTTTGTGATTTCCAATTATGGTTTGGCAAGTTTCAAATATTGTTCAATTATATTAATAGCTAATTAATGTTGCGACTCTACCGCTATGTACACAATTTCTAGAGTTGAGGCAATCACTTGAGTCATAGAAATATGTTTTAAATATATAAAACACCCCCCCCTTCTTTTTTTTTTTCCTTTTTAAACAATTTTCTACATCTAAAAGTGCTGAAAATTTTTGAGATAATTCACTTCATAATCAGCTTTGTTTCATGTGCAATTATTTAAAACTTTGACAGATATTGCTGCCACATCTGTTGAACAAAGTGAAGTTCGCCACAAACAGAATGTTCAGAGAGAGAGAAACAAAATTTTCAGTGCAGAATTTTTAGTTGCAGACTGCACAAAGGTGATCTGGATTTTCATTTGATGCGATTTGTTTTTTAAATTACATACAAATAAGCTAATAACATTATTTTGGTGTATAGCTTTTCGTCATGCCTGACCCATAAAAGTACAAATATTATCTTAATATCCACCATGTGTGCAATGAACAGCATTGCATACACTATCCGTTCTCAAGATCATCCATACTCGAGATTATGATGGTCACTATAAAAATGTATCGTAACAAAATGAGACATTTTCTGCACTCACTTGGACGTTACAAATAGCACTTGACCAATTATATTTATACCCAATTTGGGTGCCTAGCCAATCAGGATAAGAGTGAACTTAAACCCATATTAAACCCTGAAACATCTGTAAAGGGTACGTGTCTGTATACTAATACCAGGAAATTGCTAGCTCATATACTTTAAAAACTGCTTTCTGACAAGAGTTCTGCTATTAAAAATTTTCGAGATAACATTCAGTGTAATTATGTCAAGTAGGCCCCACCATTCTTTTTATGGCTGAGGGCGTCATCTAAAAGCAGCATTGTGTAATTGTACAATTTAGAAAACACATACATATACTTAATATTTTTCCCACCGCTTCATGACTTTGTAAATTTCATTTCTGTCTCAAAGGAGCGCCTCAAAACAAAATACAAGAATCCCAATCAGCGTTTTGATCTAGTCAGCTGCCAGTTTTCATTCCATTACTGCTTTGAGAGCTATCCACAGGCCATGATGATGCTTCGCAATGCCTGTGAGAGTCTCAGGCCTGGAGGTTATTTTATTGGGACCACACCAAACTCAAATGAAATAGTGTGAGTTGGGAAATGTATTGCTTTGTTTAAATCTGTCAAACAGTGACATGCCTTTTTCCATTAATTCTTGTGGAACGAATATGTTATTTACTATCAAATTTAGAGTATAAACTATTTTTACTTCAAACTTTGCAAATCTAACCAAAATTTTCCCATAATCTCTTTGTAGAAAGCGACTAAGGGCATCTTCAGACAACTCATTTGGGAATGATGTCTACAGAATTTCATTCCCACAAGAGGACAAAAAGACATTTCCCTTGTTTGGTGCCATGTATAACTTTCATCTTGAGGGTGTTGTTGATTGCCCTGAATTTCTTGTGTACTTTCCTGTTTTGGAAAAGTAGGTTATCTTGTGGTTTTTTGTTCTATTTATGATTTATTTTCTACCAAGTTTTCTTTAAATTAGGTAGTTTTTTCTTTAATTAGAAAGTGGTGTTGGAGACAATTCCTTCTAACCAATTTACATTTTCTCCTGCTCTAACAGACTCTTAAATTAAAATTATTTCTTGTAGGATGGCTGCACAGTTTGGAATGAAGCTTGTAAAAAAACAGACGTTTGCTGAATTTTTTAAAGAAAATTTGAAGAACAGAGAATATCTGACGTTACTGAATGCCATGCAAGCCTTAGAAGTAGGTTGCATTTTAATGACTAGAGCGCATATTGTTTCTGTTGTTTTATTGATGATTTGAACTCCTATGATAATTTGATAATTTTCGGATATACTTGAATTCTGATTTTGCCAAGTTTCAAATGTTGTGTATGCCAGATTTCCTATGTTGTTTATAAGTTTATGTTATATGTTTTTTCCTATGTTAATATATTCTATCTTTTTTTCTTCTTATTTTGTTTGTATTTGTAAATTTGACTATTGCTTTCTAGTCGAGCCAGCAAGGCCGCTGGATTCAATCAGTGAGGGAGATGTCGCAGTGTGCCTCTGTTAGGAGAGTACACTCTCTTGTCTTGTTCCTATCGGTGGCACACTGCGACATGCCACATATACATATGTTTCTTGACCACTATTTTCATGTATTATCTTACACAAGTCCCTAATATGATTGAAAAATCTCCTCTGCTTGAACTTAGTGTTGTTATGTTATGTTTTTTCATTGATGGGTTAGTAGCACTTACTGCACACTCTAGTGTACAAGTGTTATTTTCATTGATGGGTTATTCTATTTATTGTAGTTTTTCAGCTTATTCATTCCTAACTTATGTTAATGTTCATAAAATTGTAATGATGCCTCTCGTGTTAAAGTAAAGAATGATATTTGTTTACATGATCACCAGTGTTCACATTGTTTGATTCATATATTTCAAAATTATGAAATCACACCAAAAAAAAAACTTGATAAGCAAAAGTGAAATAACATCAAAGTCTGATAAAGCAAATGTGTGATTTATGTTTGTTCACAGCCCTTCCCACCAATTGAAGGCACAGAAAAAATGAGCTCAAAACTTGAAGACTATGAAGTGGCAAAAGAATTTCTGACATCCATTAGTGAATCTCAACAGACAGAGCAGGAGGACAGACATCAACGACCGCAGAGAATAGTAAGGAGATCAAGACAACGGGAAGCTTAAAGTGAAATAAGTTGTAGATACACCTGAACAAAGAAGATTTTTAAAGAGAGACAAATGTTGATGGGAAGGATGAATTGCATTCTTGAAGTGATAATTGTAATTTATAACGTTCACAGATGTTGATGTTTTAATGTTAGATAATTACATTTTTATAAATGAATGATTAAATGTCATCTGTTTTCTTTCAGGGTACTCTTTCCTTGGCTGAGTGGGAAGCTGCAAGTAAGTACAAGTTTATTTGGAGTTAAATGTGTCAGTTTTAATAATCCAATTCTTCTGTAATTGGTTACAAAATAATAATGCTAAATAGTTCTAAATATTAATTTGATCTTTTGAATAGGGCATTTTCTTAAGTTATTTTTTTCCACAGCAAATACTGTCTCTTTGACAGATGTAAATAACGATGCAACAATTTATTGATGTTCAGTGTTGACATACTGACATTCCTATTACACTATTTGCCACAGTTAATTACTTTGACCCATTCAACTGTTACTCTGATACTTCTGATATTGTTTCTTTCCTCAGCCGTCTACCTTGTTTTTGTATTCCAAAAAATTGAAGACGTGACGCCATCTGCAGCCCCAAGGTCCCAATCTCTTCAACCAGAAACCATCATAAAACCACCAGAGAAATCTTGACATTTCAACGTCTAAATTTTAATGTTGTCCATGAGTTGTCTTGTTAATTGACTTAAGGCCATAAAACAGCTTCCATGTTGATGTATCAGTTAGGTGTACATAATGTGAATTAAGAGAAGGGCCCCGTCTGCATAGAGACAAGCTTGAATGACAGGACATTGAAACTTTGGGCTGAGTGGTATTCAACACCAATGTCAAAGTTACCTTAGTCCCAGTGGTTGGTTGTATTTCTGCTCAAATCAAATTCAACTACATTTACTTGTTCCTGCTCTGTGGACATGAAGCCTTCTAATCAAAAGATCAATCTATATTCTTAAGACAATTTGGCTTATTTTCTTCTTTCAAACTGCAGATTTTCTAATTTATCCATCAAGGCCTCAGTTAAAGTAAATTTTAATTTCTCAGAGAAATATTTAAGACTAATTTCACTATTAGATCAGAATATATCTTTTTGTTTCTTTTTTTTTTAAAGCGTAAGGGGGCTCCATGTTGCAGTCAGTTGATGAAATACTCCGAAGACTGTGATCGTTTGCACACTTGGATCTGTTTGTGTTTTGACATGCTATCTTATTAACAGGAAGACAGCAGTCCAATTTTTATTTTTAGACACATCATTTTCAGTCCTTGCACAAATAAAAGACAAGGGCTAAGAAGAACACTAGAATCTTGCTACCCAATCAATATAATATATCAGAGGACATTGTAGTGAAATCTTTCCTCTGAAATAAAAATTGAAATAAATCTCAACTTGAAAGAAAATTTAAACAACTTAATATCAGAAGATCTACTTCCAGATTAAAGATGTTGAAATCACATGTTCTCTCAGACATCAATCATTGATGTGGGTTTTTTGGCATGATCAAGCATCTATTAAAATTAATAAAAATATCTCTGTACTATTTGTTTTCTTCGGTGTGCTTGTTTCCTTTGTATCCAAAGTATAATTACAAACATTTTTGTAATTGGGGGTTTTATAAAAATAACATTTTTTAGTAGTAGCAGGAAAATGATAGCGAAGAAACCTTTTTTGAATTATCTTTTATTCCTATTTCAACAAATGATTTATTTAGGAAGCTCCTTTAATATGATAAGCACTTCATGTCTTATCGAAAATGACTCAGGGTGAGCATATGATTATATTGTAATGTTAAATGAAAATTCTAGTGGAGACCGCCAACATTTAACATGAGCGGAAGTTTTCAAGTCACTAATAAAAACCATTTATCAAACACCATCATTGAGGTAAATATGTTTGTCCTTCACATGCGAAGATGACCATGGCAATTTTTCAACTTGAGTAGTAGCCGTGACTTAAGCTATTGTCTTGTTTAAAGTTAAAGTGAGCGAGAGTTGCTCAGCCTCACTCTCTCACCTTGCCTATTTAATCCAATGGCAAAGACTTGATTGAGATGGCTTGAAATAGACCGGGAGATTACTAGCAGTGTGTGTATGTTTCACTGTGCTCTTTCTTCATTCCACATCACAGGATTTGTCTGAACTTTCATTGTGTCATTGTCATACCATCTAATGGGATTCCATCTGGCAGACTCTGACTTCTAATAGATGATTTGAATTCCAATGATAAGGACACATCCAACCTGGTTTGTGGTGGTGTTGTTCGTAAAGTCTTTTGCTGGGGGATTGAACTCACTTTAGACCACCCGGCACCTAATGTCAAAGTGTACAAACTGAACTGGTCTCGGGCTGCTTTGAGAGGTCTTTTGGGGAAACGAGTTATTGGAGTGTAGTAAAAGGATTAAATTTTAGTACAGCATTTACTTTAATTGAACATTCCAGAACTAATGCAAAACAAGTTTTAGTATGTACTAAATGAACAAAACACTAATAATTTGCAACTTACTCCAGACCAGAATTGCAAATAGTTGGATGTGATTTTGTTTTCCTGTCATAAAAAGAAAGAACTCCAAGGTCTATTTTACTATAAAATACATTTAATATTTTATTTATAAGATAGCACTGTTTCACATTCAACATATCATAAATTTAATTAGCACATTAATCCTAATTAGTCATTTGTAAATAGATAATGTTAATGAAGAAATGTAACAAATATAATTTATAAACATCAAGGTAGGTAGATAAATAAACTTGCCAACATTTATTTATGTAAGTCAAGTAGTTTTTTTTTTATTTTTGTAACAATAACTGAAACATTCCCTAAGATTCACCAATGGACAAATGTTCAGGAAAGAGTTTGGAGGACCTTTACATTTTACTTTTCAACCTAAATAAGTTATTGATTTTTTTAACACATTAATCAAAAGAATAATAAATATACTATTAGTTACCAGTAGTATAAGTGGGGCTATTGACCTTTAACTTCTTAAAAGCAATAAAATGACACTTGCTAGAGGCTAATTGATTGGAGTTGGTGGTGCAAAAATAGAAAATATGTGCCCACCTTTTAGTGCTGTATTGAGACATAGTAATACTATATCTTTATTATTTATGGTATGGTCTGCTATATCTTGCTGTACTTGAATCATTTTCTAAAATGTCAGTAAATTGAGCCCAATTATTAGTGATGTCTCAGGCTTTGTCCTGGAGGTCTTGAATAGCAGAATGGTTTTAATTTTAAGTAACCAATATAAAAAGTTATACTTCCCAGTAGAAATCTTGCAGAGTAAAAACTCTTCCGTTAACATTTTCAAAGAATAAAAACTCTTAGTTATACATGTCCAAAGACTTGAAAGGCAACCTTTTAAATGTTTGTGATTGAATTTCATGAATTATTTCTTGGAAATAAGTTTTTAAAAAGTGATGATGAACTACCTGCCTATCCACCTAGCATCAGAATGTTATGATAATCTGAAAGCCTGCTTAACACCACACTGAAGCAACATTTAAATGCTGAAAAAAAGAAAAAAATGCTTTAAAAAATGTCTTGACTCTCCTTAAGTGATAACCTACAGAAATGTGTTTCACTCTTGCAACAAGTTATTGAAGCATTTATATGTGATAGTGGGGACATTTTTCTGTTTGCTTAGTTGAACCGATAATCCTTGAAAACAAACATAATTGAATAATAGAAATAAGATGCGAAAAATTTGGTTAAATCTTTTTACCCAGGTTTTGAACTATTTTTAACAACATTACCTTTGGCACCTTATATGAAAATTTTATTAGTATTTCTTGATTAGCTAACCGCAGGCACATTCCTGTAACTTTGCGACACTTAGTTGCAGCCATTGTTTAGAGAGTGTCTATAGAGGACCAGAGCGTCAAGTCTTGAAGTGGTAATACACATGTAATTTAACAAAGAACATGATTTTAGAAGGGCAACTAAGCTTTCCTGACAGGGACAGAGACTTACCACTAAGACAGCTGTCAAAGAAAAATTGTTACATGAGACAGCTTGCGTTCATGAACTTAAGAACTGGGTAAAATATCCAAGTAAGTAACAGGCTTTGTTAAACAAATATAGTGATACCTTTTTTTAAAATTTTTAACAATATTACAGTATTTTGTACTTGCAAATTTAAGTCAGTTGTGGTTTATGTGTGGCTTTGAGTATTGGTGGCTTTTAACGATAAATTAAGAAAACAATCCTCTTGTTGAAAAAATCCATATGATGCTTTCTGGCAATTAAGTTTACATTCCTGAAAGAATTCTACTGCTGCCATAAAAAACTGGAAAATATCCACAAAGAAAATCTGTTGTAGCTTTTGTTTTCTTCCTTTTTAAAAAAGTTAATGCATTCAATCTTTCAGGAAATGAACCAACTGATCTAAAACTAAAATGTTTGTGGATTCTTCCATCTTACAAAGAGGAAGACCACATACATGCGGGTGCACATAAAACAGGAGTGAAACTCTGTCAAAACTTGTATAACCTCAAAGTGATATTTCACCCAGACGTAAAATATTTTGATTTAAGCAATAATTCTTTTTGGTTTAAAAAGAAACGATTCTAAAAAAATATTACTCAAATAATTTACACCATATCTCACTACAACTACGACTGTTAAATGTTGTACCGGTATATTAAAAAAAGTTCTTAAGTTTTGTCTTAATTTCATGGAGGGACAGTGGATAAAAAGCACTTATTCTATTTGTCAGATAACATTTTGTGAAATATTCCATGCCAGCATTCATTGAAAATGTAATGAACATCCCCCCCCCCCATCCATATGTAGTGGAATTCCAAAAATGGCAGCCCATCAAACAAAGAATTTTCAAATGACATTAGTATGCTAAAACACAAAGTAGTAAAGAAAACACCAAGGATCAACAATGCACAATTGATTCAGGCAATTCACACAGGTCCCTTACAGTGTAAGTAGACAAGAGAATAAATAATCTCTGCTTAATGCTATGACAAAAAATGTGTGTTTGTGCATGTGTTTAAAGGAAGAGGGGGTGAATAAACAGGTATGCCCTAGTTGTCCTAACCGAAGGAGCAATTTTGAATAGGAAGTTTGACTTAAATTTTGGATTTCTTTCAAGTAAGAAAAAGGTGGATATACTTTCAAACCAGATGTTTCAAAAGAATTTTAGGGTTTGTAAAATTTTAATTTCACCACTCTCTTTAACATTACCTATACAAAAGAAAGCATAGTCCTGCCATGTATATGAAATTGTAACATTTTCATACTGCTCTTTGAACAAAATAGTAATCAAATAAATATAATTTTAAGAAAATGTTGAATGTTCTGATTTTAAATTTTAATAAGCTTTTTTTTTCTCCAAAAATATAAGATATTAACAGCCTACTGAAAACATAGATTACACTTTTGAAAACACCTAGTGATGCAACAGGTAGGGAAAGGCTTTAAAATACACAAAATAAATGATTTAACGAAAATAGAAGCATACCATCAGTTTGATCACTGGCTTACAGTTTGGCTGGAGTACACAATATTGCTTGATACTAAATCTTAAGGCAAGGTTTACAATGTGTAGCCATTCACTCTGAGATTTCGAAAGAAGTGCAGCTCAGGGTGAGTCCCGTAACAAAACATCATTTAATTATGGTTAATATTACAATATGGTGAACTTCATCTCCATAAAAAATACCTACTTCCTATATTAGCGGATTTTTTTGATTCGTGAGGCTGCCACAGATCATCATCTCCCCCCTCACCTCCCGATTCTCAAGTTATCTTGTCTGAATATGTATTATTCAAAAGTTATATCAAGAAAAAAAGATTCTCTAAAAAGTGTGTAAAAGATTCAAAATCAATTTGTATCAATAGCTGTTGATTGCAAAGTACTTATTGGAACCCAATGGATCATTATTTCTAGCATTCATTCATTGAAATATCATGTATTGTGGCCAAGCAGCAGCTATGTGTCATAGCTTGCATAATAATTTTCATAACATAAACATTGCCATGAGCTGATTTAAGTTGAACTTCTCCTCAAGTCTCACAATGAAAAGCTAACACATGCTTTAGGCATTAAAATACACTGGGATAACTTTTTGTAAAGAAAGAATCATGCATTTAAGAATTTCTGTAAGCATGCTAAAACTTATATAGAAAATGTTAACAAGTTTTTTTTTTATTATGCAGATAATATTTATATAAATTTTTATTACAAGTCAAATACAGCAATTGTTAAAAATGTCATTTTTTTGTAATTTATCAATCAGATGTCACAAAATAAATTCATAAAAAATATTTCTAGCACACATTAAAACAAATACTAAGATATTGGTTGATAACATATTTTCTTGGCTTATTGGTTGTCAAATACCAACATGATGATCTAAGTAGATCTTGACCAGTTCTTTAAAAAGGTTGCATGGTATCAAAAGTTAGCAGACCAAATGTAACTCATTCGAGGCATATAATGACAGATTGTCATCATGTTGGGGGGGGGGGGGGGAATTGCTAAGATTTGTATAAATTATACATATTCTGTTGGATTTATTCTTAGCTATACCCACATGAAAAAGTCTTTCTAAAATTAGAGCCAGGTGTGAGGAGAGCGATTTCTGAGAAATTTTTCAATAGTGCCTCTGAGCCCAGTGGCCTGGACCATAAAAGAATTTTGTACTGAGTTTACATGTTTCTCTTTGCCGCTGCAGAATAACAAACAAAAACAAATAGGTTTTTGATAACAACCTGCAATCAGGTGACATGTAATATGAAAATTGACTACCGGTAAACACATCTAATACTAAACAATAGTCCTCTAACCTCAAACAAAATGTGACTGACATTCGTTCATAAAACAGTTTACTGCTGTTACTAAAATAAGGTATTTTTAATTATATATAAATTAGGCTGTTTGCTATTTGTTTACAAAACTTTCCTTTGATTCAGTTATCTTAAAATAGTTACACTGAGGTAATATTTGAGTAGACTAGCTTAATATTAGATCTTTGTAAAATTACATTGAGTCAAAATCACAATTTAAGATGAATTTTTCATCTTTCTGAAAGAAATTAGTTAAGCACTTACTGTAAAACCTTCATTAGACATTTTCAGAGGCGATGACAAAGTTGTTCTACATTATTTTGCAGAAAAAAAAATTAAACCCAACAAAAATGTTAATTTTCAATGACTTAGATGATACAAAATATAACACACACAAACATCACTAAAGCCAGTTTGTTTAAAGTCACAACGTAAGATATTAAAAGAATTCTAAAAAGAATAATAAAAAAATAACCAAGCTGTATGTACTTTTTGTAAAGAGTATGTACTAAATCTTATAAGTAAACATCCATGACCATTGGACATACGCAAGGGGTACAATTTTTTTTTTAATATGAAGATAAGTAACAGTTTATCATTTGTTCTCTGGTTTGTAGCATAAGGTGAGAGGAACACATAACAAAAGAAAGCAGTCTTAAAATAAACACGTTAGAAAAATATTTTTGGGTAAAGATGTAAATTAAGATTGTCAAAAAGTTCAGATGTACAAGCTGGTGAATTCTGAATGGGTTTAAAGTGTTTTAAAATTCACCTAATTCCACACACACGCAAAAAACACATTTAAGTATTGCTGGAATTAGTTGAACTCAGTGAAGCATTGTAAACAGTGAATTAAAAAAAAAGGATGGAGAATATTATAAATGGAGAAATAAAATAAATTTAAGACACACTAAAACTTGTATAAAACTCAACGGGGATTGGGGGGGGGAGACCATGTATAACATTATATTTTGAATAGTATATAAACAGAATTGGAGACATGAAAATAGTTACAGCCATTTCAAATGCTAAAATTCAATCCTTTGTGCCTAGATGATTGGCTCACAAAAATACATAATCATTAACTGAATAAAAACAAAGAGAATAATTGACATAAATATTTTGATGCAAATATGGTATTAACACATAAATGGTAACCAAAAACAAATTAACATCCCAGAGAAGTTAGACAGAAGCTTAATGATGGAGCTAATAATTTACATGCTTTATAATAATTTACATATTTATATCTACATCAGATGGAACCAGTTAATTTAGCTACTTGACATATTGCCTAACTTTCAATGTTTCCCATACCCGGAACCAGTTAATTTAGCTACTTGACATATTGCCTAACTTTCAATGTTTCCCATACCTGCAACCAGTTAATTTAGCTACTTGACATATTTCCTAACTTTCAATGTTTCCCATACCCGGAACCAGTTAATTTAGCTACTTGACATATTGCCTAACTTTCAATGTTTCCCATACCCGGAACCAGTTAATTTAGCTACTAGACATATTGCCTAACTTTCAATGTTTCCCATACCCGGAACCAGTTAATTTAGCTACTTGACATATTGCCTAACTTTCAATGTTTCCCATACCCAAAGATGTCTGATGGACAGACATCCTATTTATAATAAGGAAGTTACCTAACTCCTTCAAATCATTTCCATAATTTCTGTTTTTATTATTCTTATAATAAAATAAGATGATAATGTGTCAAGCCCCACTCCACCCATAATTTTCAAGAGTAAAATATTGAGAAAATCTATTTGTTGAGTTCAAATGACATAATTTGAAAAGGGAGTTTGTGTTAAACACAGATATTTCAAATAAATTTTTCTAAACATGGCTAATTCATTCCAGCGCTTTCCTTAAATGTAAATGCTTACAATCCCAGAGACACAGAGTTGCGAAGTGTTAATTTTGTTTTGCCCAATCATAAAACAGCCAACTATTATTATGTTAGAGTGCCATATCTCTGATCCTGCTAAATGACAAAATATAATCAAGTCCTGTATTTAGAAGGACCAAAATTAATACAAAGAAACACACAAAAATCCTGGTGGGATGTCAGACTGCCTCAAGTTAAAACATGGAGTTATAAACTTCAAACATTCTCCTTCTCTTTAAAAACTACTTTAAAAATTAAGCCAAAGCTAATAAAGCTTTCCCAGAGTGATCAGTTTAAAAAAAAAATTTAAATACATTATTAAATGTCTTTGAAGCCAAAGCTTAGTGAAATGAAAGCTACCGGTAGTATGCACTTTTTTTTTTAAAGCAAGTAAACAACAACTTATGACTAATCAGGTAAATGAGATCAAATCATTAAAAAAAAACATGTAGAAATAAAACCATCTTGTATGTAGACATTTTGAATGTCTGTATTCTCCATCTTCATGAATATCTATAGCTCGCTGCAGCAAACTAGCAGTTTGTATGTTGTTTGTAAAGTTTAAAGCTAGCAGCAAACTAGCAGGTACTATGTGTGTAGTAAAAAAAGCCATTCTAAATCAATCGCCAAATTTTTTTAACATATTAATTTATATCATAAGAAGCCCCCCCCCCCCTTCCACCCGGACCAAAAACAAAAACCCCCCCCCCCCCCCTGTCACTCTGAGCAGAAAACAAAATTTAATCATCATACTCTCTTTTTTGTTTGTTTAAACTAAGCTCTCCTTCCTCCAAAGTATTCATAAGTTATGCAGAAATGAGAACAGAGAAACATTGAATATACATATCAATTTGAACAAAAATAAACCTCTATGACAGTCATCTGCCTTCTAACTAGACCATTGGGAATATGGCTGGCCAGTTTTCTTCCTGCAGCACCATAAGCCATTAGCTAACTGCTCAATCATCCACTAATGACATCAACCCCCTTGTATTTACCTTCTTTGAATCTAAATTCAATTTCCAATTATAAATGACATGAAGAGTGTGATAAAACCATACCTTTTGATTGCAAACTATCTTTGGTTAGCTCCTGACTTGGTAACACTTTAAAACTCACAAACTAAATTATTGTCAGTTATCTGCTTTTGTGCATCTCTAAACAAAAAATACTGTTGTCTTTACAGAACTCAAAAAATGTGTATATTCCATGAATTTACACTTAAACCATGTTGACATGATAAATTTAATACACTGATTTCACATCAATACACAAACAGAAGATAGCTTCACTTTGAGAGGGGCGGATGGGTTCTGACATAAAGTTATTTGTATGGCCAAGTGAATTTGCATGAATATAAATATAACAGTTAATGTTTATTTGAGCTTTGCAATATATAAGTAGAAAGCAAAAAAACAGGTATTTGTTAGCAGAGTTTCTAGTAAAGACATCAAGGTTCTGCAGCCCTATGCAGCATTCCATAACAGCTCTCATGTTCAATGTGCTGGGTTTCAAAGAGCACCACAAGCTCTTGATTGGCAAAGACATAACGGGGAGCAAATGTTTAGTGCTTTCACTGAAGAATATATTCAACAGCTTTCGTATGCAACGATACAGTGCTCTATTATGAGGATAGTACTGTCCATGGAATCATTTCCAAGAGAAAACAATTTAACCCGATATATTCATAGTTTTGATCTTACTCTATGGGTCTCCAAAGTTTATTTGAAGGTGTGCTAGTTTAAATATTTTTTTTAAAGCATCATAAGTCAAATATGATTAGGTTGAAATACATACACTTGCCACTAATAATTCACTAATTTTTTTTTCTTAAATAACATGTAAAGCCATAGTGAGGGTAAATGTGAAGTGGAGCAGAGGGCCATGTTGTGGAGCAGAGGGCCCTGTTGTGGAGACCCCTTTTTGACTCCACAGGTATATGATAGCAATAACTATTTACAGAACTGATGCAATCCGCAAAAAAAGTATTATTTTTGTAAGAGATACTTTGTCTAGCCATTGTAGAAGGCTTTACGTTACCTACTGCAATAGACTGCCCAATATTGGCACACAAAAAACTAGGATTACAGCACATAGTTAGGCTATTACAGCACATGATTGGGATTACCCGTTAAATCACAAAAAGCTCAATGAAACAACAACAAATAACTGTCGTGGATGATCTAACCTGGCAGTAGGACCATGAGCTGCTAGTAACTCAATGAAAACTGGTGTCTTGGTGCCACAGAACCTTGTTAGCCTCAGATATAGATGATTGATGAAACTAACAATAAGTGGCGTTAGTGGCTCTTGCTCGCCCAAGCCATGTCATCAGAGCGGGGTTTGTTCCCCGTCAGCTTTTCTATCAACTGTTCGGCCGTGCTCCAGAAACGAATCTTCTCCAGAGGGTAGTTGAGCCAGCCAGTTGTGATGCAGTAGTATGTTTCATGTGGCGAGACATGGTGAATGCGGTGGTGCTTGCGAGGCAAAATGAGATGAATGTCCTGCAGGATGGTGATGTACCAGGGCAGGCCAAAGTATGTGTGGGACCATTTATGACACTGAAACAAAAACATCATTTGTAACTCACGTTTGGGGTACAGCACTTTTCATGAAACAAAGAAATGTAAATAATCAGTTCATAAGAGTTCATTTTCTTATATCTTAAATGCTTAAAAAAAAAAATCTACAGGTTCAAAGGTTATCTTACAATATAGGACAAGAATAGGTTTAAGGGCTGTGTTATTATGAGCACACAAAAAAATCCCTTTGGAATTTCACACCTATCCCAACTGCCTTACAATTAAATTATGACAGCCATGTTTTACAATTATCTGAAAGCCAATTCTAATATTTTTCTTGCATCACAATTATAGTAACTATGTTGTACATAATATCAGAGTGGACTATTATATTGATGGGATTTTGCCTCCATGACCTATCTCACCTTACGACCTATCTCACCTTATGACCTCCCTCCCCTTACATAGAATGGACTTTATTAGCAATGCAGAAAGAAATAAGATTATCACCCGCGGGGGGAGGGGGGGGGGGAGGGGTGTAAAAGTTGAATTTAAATTTAAAACTAACAAGCTAGTAAACAGGAAAAATACAAGGGCTAAGATTTAAATTTAACAGATTGCTGTCTGTATTGTTTTCTAGAATAAAAATATCTTGCTCATGTTCAACACAATGATCATCAATTCCTTGCTATTCAGTTTTAAAAGTTGCACACTCAGAGCACTCACCTGGTTTGTGAGACTGACAAACACAGCTAACAAAAACATGAACATTTTCCAGTTATATGTTTCGGCTATCTCTTGGGGTGACAGCGTGTAAAACTGATGAGCTGTGTAAGCAATGAAAGGAATGACCACAGCAAAGTTGTCTCCGTTGGTTTCAATGAAGTCATGCCGTGTTATGGAGGTAGGATCAATGTGGTGCTCACGAAATGGTCTGATGAACCCCTGCCAAAGATTCAATGATACAGCCATTATACAATTTTTATCTATACATCCATCTCTATGGTGCTACAGCCTATGTAGGGCTTTGGTCTGCCTCACCAATTCCTTCCAATCAGACATAATGGATGCTTTTCTTCTCCATGCCTGCATTTCCAGCTGCTGTAGACCACTTTCCACATCATCTTTCCATCTAAGCCTAGGTCTGCCGTTTTCCTCTGGATTGTTAGGGGTTGTTTTATTTATATTGTATTATTAAAAAAATGCATGCTTCACACTAGGGTACAGACTCATCTTATGAAACCAGTTAAATCATGATGTCATAAATGTTTTTAAAAAATTGAATGGTATCATATTTAATAACATGTGTTCATAGTGTTACTATACTTTCCATATTTAATAACATGTGTTCATAGTGTTACTATACTTTCCATATTTAATAACATGTGTTCATAGTGTTACTATACTTTCCATATTTAATAACATGTGTTCATAGTGTTACTATACTTTCCATATTTAATAACATGTGTTCATAGTGTTACTATACTTTCCATATTTAATAACATGTGTTCATAGTGTTACTATACTTTCCATATCTAATAACATGTGTTCATAGTGTTACTATACTTTCCATATCTAATAACATGTGTTCATAGTGTTACTATACTTTCCATATTTAATAACATGTGTTCATAGTGTTACTATACTTTCCATATATAATAGCATGTGTTCATAGTGTTACTATACTTTCCATATTTAATAACATGTGTTCATAGTGTTACTATACTTTCCATATTTAATAACATGTGTTCATAGTGTTACTATACTTTCCATATTTAATAACATGTGTTCATAGTGTTACTATACTTTCCATATCTAATAACATGTGTTCATAGTGTTACTATACTTTTCCATATCTAATAACATGTGTTCATAGTGTTACTATACTTTTCCATATCTAATAACATGTGTTCATAGTGTTACTATACTTTCATTCAAATATTATTTTGTTTAAGAGGGTATAATAGGATGTGTGATGATGATACCATCTTTGCTGTGTTAACATCCTTCTCAATTTTTAAACCATGCTAACAACTGAGCAGGACAAACATATCGCTAATCATCCTTGGCAATAGAGAACTAATTGCCATGAGAGACTCATAGTTTATGTATCGTGAAAACAGTTCAGTTCTCAACCTTGTCTATAAATTCTAAAAGTTGCTTAAGGATACCTTAAACTCCATGCATCAGCTTTGTACACTTCATTTAAACTGCTCATCTCTAATTTAAATCAACAAAATACTCAGATGAAAGAGCAGTTCTCCCTGAAATAAATTAATAAGGCAACACTTACACTTCCAACAATTGGCAAATCCACAGATCCCCACGTATCAGCTCCCCAGTGAACAACACCACTACAAAAGTCGGCTGTTATGATTCCTAACACTGTGCAAAGATAAAAATAGATACACATATAGTATAGATACAGCATACAGAAAATATTACATCTTTCTTTAATTCCTCTAAATGTGTTAAATTCTTAATGACTGGGGCTGGGTTAAGAAATCTAATTTGTCAACCTTCAGTCCATATGCAACTTATTTATGAATATATTTGGGTAACAATTTACATTCCCAAGAGCTCAAAAATGTATCCTCTGAAGCAGCAGTATCATCATGATTTCAATAGACCCAGGGTTGCAACATACTCTTCACATCTCATTATTTATTAAATAGAAGTTATTTTTTTTGTAACCATAAATTTTCAGGCTACATGCATGAATTTGAGGCCATGAGTTTTAAGCCCATGAGTTTTAAGCCCACTGGATACAACAATGTGAACATTTTAGAATAGTGCCAGAAATGTGAACATTTTAGAATAATTCTTATCATATATATTGTCAAATGGATCCACACAAGTCATAGCTACATGATCATGCAATGGCCATAAATACTGAAGTTTAATAAAAAAGGATTATTGACTTGACTGCTGTAGTAAATTTATGTCCATAAATCTATACGAGTCTAAATGAGTTAAATATAATCATCTAAGAGAAATAAGTATCAAGGTATTTTTTAGAGGTGATTATTCATAATTATAGATGTATCGTTGTACTCTATTTGAGGCATCAACAAGAAACAAAATAGTCTGTACTAGTGGCTTTAGGAAAAACAAAAATTATTAAAAATTGTAGAAGAGTGTTGCTTAAATATTACTGTATTGGTGGAAAATATTAATTTATAAGTATCTTTATTAAATTATGACTTAAGAATACAAATAAATTGTTCATTCCTAAAAACTATTTGTTAAAATCAATATTGAACACATTTTGGCTATCAAATTACAAACTATCCATGGCCTAGATAAGCTATCACCAACTGCATTCAAGTGATAAAAATAGTACTAAAAATTCAAGTGCATGCCATTAACTAGAAATGTAAGACAAGATATCATGGGGTCACAATTAAATATCAGCTGATGATTAAAAAATAAACTAGCATAGGTGTTTCTTTCTTTAATATAAATGAAAAACTGTCAGTTATATTGCTTATGAGGTAAATAATGTTTAAAGCCTCCCTTATGTAAGAATTTAAAAATAACTGGTAACACTTACAGGCACAGAAAAGAATCATACTCCATTGGCTGGGGTTAAAGTAAAACACCAAGTAATAAAAGTTGACAGCAAGCAATATAATACTGATGAACAATGATACAGTCTCTTGGAATCTTTTTCCTGCAATATAAATTTGAAACATTTATTTTAAAAGTTATACAATATATGCAGGCCTATAAAGACAATAAACAAATTTAAAATATTTTTTAACTTGAGTATGAAGTGAATAACATTATTTAACATATATATGTATTTTTAAGCTTAGGAAATACGCTCAAAAACTAAAAATAAAGGCTGCTATTGGCTTTGGCAAGAATCATGCAACCATACTGTCATACATTGAGGGCATGAAGTACTTCCTTCCTCACATTGGCTTAACCTTAGCACTATGCAGGATGAACATATTGTATCCCTCAGATGTGTGGCAAAACCTGCAGACAACCCACTGTTGCCACCTTCCCTTACAGTCATATAGTCTCATTTATTTTCAGGTTTTTATATCCTGTGCACAGCAGTTAAAGTTTAAAGACATTTAATGTTGTGTTGTCAGGGTAAGGACAGAAATAGGAAATGTCAAAATTATTGTGAACACAAATTAGGTTAATAAGAAAAAAAAAAAAAAATTTTGCCCTGCATATTTGGAAACCAGATATATATACATCATTAATAAATGTTATAATACACAACAGTGCTCATTTTGCCTTATCCAGTCACTTTGATACTTCGAAAAATGATGTAAAAATGTTATAATGGCAAAAATTTTCAATAATTTATCATTTAGACTAATATTATGAATCAATGAGGCATATCCATGTTACACATAGTTGAATGCCTAAATTTATCTTGTGACACATGATTTCTATAAGGAGGTATGTTGGTATAAGACATTTGGAAGTTGATAGGCCTAAACAATAAGGAATTTATGAAAGGACAAGCATATTAAATTATCACTAACACAACAGGCAGTACAGGATACACTTGATTTGGGCACAAAATGTAAATTTTAGACTTAGGCTAAATTATATTTTAAATAAAACTTAGGTAAGTAGAAGTATGGCTAACTATAAATTAAAATAATTAAATATTAAAAATGGGAACTAGGCAAAATGGACCATTAACATTCGCCCATGTCGATATTTGTCCTTTTTTTATGTTCGTCCTGTTTTTTCATACCAATTTTTGCTTGATATTTGCCCCACCTGCCCTGTGAGAGAAACAGTCTCAGATAGTGATTCAAAGTACAACTTTATTTCTTTCTAATATTTATGACTTATGAGTTTTTGCAACTATTTTTTTAATAAATAAGTTATTATGGTGTTCTGGAGCCAGAGGTTTTGTTTGTTTTTGTATTTAATGCAGATTTTATATTTTGGTTAATTTTAGAGTTAGACGCTTATTTATTGTTGTTATCCTAATCTCTATAAAATAATCATTGTTTTTTTTTCACTGGCTTTTGTAGAACAATGAACCTTGGGTACATGAGGAACACACATTTACCACTTATAACTTAAGTCTGCTGGTTTGCTTTATTTAGTGTTTTGGGGGGTGGGAAGGGTGGATGGGTTACTCAAATGAAGGCAAATTTCTGCTTAAAATTTTATTGATGTAGTGTAGGCCCCAGCGTAGGCCTACAGTAAAGGCATCATACATGACAAGTAAATCTCTGTCATAAGGAAAAAGCAGTGTTATATATGTAATTAAATGTATTTGTGATGATTTGGATGATTTCCAGGATTGATTAGCCAATGTCATTTTTTAAATTTATATACAACCAATACGAACTGCATGGCCATATACTTGAGCCAGTTTCCTCCGTAAAGTACCTGGGTGTTACCAGGTCTGCTTGGACTAGCATATTAACAATGTGTGTAACCAGGCAAACAAGACCCTGGGGTTCTTGAGGCGTAATCTAAAGATTGGCAACTCCAGTGAGAAAGAAAGAGCCTATAAAGCCTTTGTCCGTCCAGTTTTAGCCAGAAGAGCATTGACAGGTTGGAGGCGGTCCAGCGACGGGCAGCACGCTTTGTCCTGAACCGCTACAGGAATACCTTTAGTGTTGGCAGTATGCTGGAAACACTAGGCTGGTCACCATTGGAGGAGCGACAACGACAATCCAGGCTCTCCATATATCATATTGTATAACATAAATAATGGGCTAGTCCACTGTTCCATTATTAAACAGAAACTCGTCCCTCTCCCCCATAGAAAGCGACGAGGCCATGACAGGCAATTCCGGCTCATACCAGCAAGAAGCCAGTATAGAAACTTCTCATTACTGCCAAAGACAATCAGGGACTGGAACTCAAAAATTTGTGAAGTCAAGTTTAGTTTTTTTTTAAATCTAAAATTTTCTAATTTTAAAAATCTATATTTAATTAATTTTAAAAACATTAATTTGAGGTCAAAATTGCCTCAGGTATTATAGTTATAGGTACTATTACTATGAAACTCAGTCGCTCACACCTTCTGACTTCTGTGCATATAGAAAAATTATGCAAAAACTGTTGTGGCCATATTACATTCGGCTTGTGGATGACTTCGTTGTTTCGCGTCACAGTTTTCTAATGATACTACTAACTACTTAATCCATTAAAATGATTAAAAGGGAAAATGTTTAAGAATAAAATAAAATCTTAGTTTAGTTATGAACATTTTATGTATGTTTTGATTATTTTTAGGTGTGACGTGACACTGTGCGGGGGGGGGGTCTAAAAAGGTCATTTTATGCGTACGTGATATACGAACGACCCCTTATACTTATATAAAATCCCCAAACTTTTCATTTTACGTAACTCAGTCCGTAAGCCGTAAGTAAGTTCAGTCACTAACCTGCAGTGTATTTGCTAGCTAGTTCTTTAGCACCGGCATGTTCTGGTCCCCACCTTGGTCTTGATGCTGCTTCTCCTTCAGAATATTGAATATTTTCGTTGGGATCGTCCTCTGTCATAGAATTAGAAATAATTTCCGTATCAGATTTGACACCCATTTTACTTATTTGTTTGATCCCTCTGGAGATCACTATTGATTTCTATTGTATCTCCGCAGAAACCGACTGGCGTGATGACTAAAAGGTAGCTGCTCTTTCCAATTGGTCAAATATTAAAATGTTCTGAAAATTTACATTTTAAAAAAAAAGGAATTGTGTCATGGCTTTACAAATAATATCATTGTCTTTAAGGGTCATCTTTTATTTTTCAAATTACCTGCTTAATTAAAATAAATGTTGATTACATTTTTTGGGGGAATATTTAAAAATTATTATGTAACATAAAAGTATTAAAAGTAAAAGGGTAACAGTAACTGTCTGGACTGTCATGCACCCAATGACCTAGGACAGGGGTCGTCAACCTTTTGAGGGAAGACCCATTCTATAAATATATGTGTTGGCAATATATATATAAATTATATATACATATACATACATGCATACATACATGCAAACACATATATATATAGGCCTACATATATATTTATATATACACTAGGCTTTATATAATGGTAATAAGGGGAGGGACTGCAATCAAGTTAGCAAAGTAGTAAATGAGCAAAACAATGTGTGGTCGAACCTGAAAAAGGAACGCAACATAACAACGAAAGTGTCGACAGGAAGCCTTCATAAGCGAACAACCAACAGAAAAACAGAATAAAGATAAAAATTAAAATTCGCACTTAGCTGAGATGTAGTAGGCCTAACCGAGAGAGCACACAAAAAATTGTGACCGAAAATAAGTAGGTGAGAATTATAAATTATTAGTCACCTCCCCATAAAGAAAATAATCAATCTGGACGGAGTTCAGGCATCACACATGAATTGTAACTCCTTGACAGCCCCCCCCCCCAACTCAGTACTATTAATATAAAACATGTGGAGTAGGGGAGGGCCGGTTGTAAAGAGGAAGCAGGACACACCCCAAGCAAAATATATAAGAGATATTTAAGGAGTCAGGCAAGGGCGGGTTGTTTCATTTGCTGTAGGATCCGCCAGGGCTTGCGATATTTTTACCATTTGTTTAAAAATAAGCATGTTAAATTTAGATGGAAAAAAAAAACGACTTTCGCACATGAGAAGTTGTAGAATTCGAAAAAAAGAAGGGGTGTGGCAAAAGGAGAGAGATGCTTGACAGGTAACAGTAATTTATATTAAGCGCGTCTGCAGATCAACAATTTGGGAACATGGGATGACGTGAAATCGGATACTAACTTCTTCCTCTTTCTGCTGTTTCGGGCAGCCTCAAATATTTATTTTAAAGGGGTGGGGGCGGTTGTCGTGGTGTACGGGTATAATTACTAACGGCGTTACTAACGCAGGGATGAATTTGGCAACAACTTAAAGTACGGTAACTTGATGCGTAGCTAGCTGGTCACCGTAAAATGTCCACGCACACTAACGGGACTGGTTTCGATGAACTAGATCAGGCCTGCACAACTCAAAATGTAAGGCGGGCCGTAATAATTTATGAAAAATTTGTTCGGGTCAAAAGAAAATAGGACAGGCCGTGTGCGGGCCAAAAGAAAATAGGACGGGAGGGGGAACTATTAAGAAAATAATAAGAATAAAGAATATTTCGTTACTTCGCGGGCCGCAAAGTAGGTGCTGGCGGGCTACATGCGGTCCGCGGTCGTATGTTGAGCAGGCCTGAACTAGATATGTGAGCACCATGGACAATGTTAATATTTAAAAGAGTATAACAGTGTCGAGGAAAATCTGTGCCAGGGGTGAAGCCTGAAAGCCCCCCCCCCGCCCAACCCTCCCGTTTCATCAATACATGATATATTGATATATGTTATAGGTAGGCTAATATAAGTTATGATTATGTAACATTTATAAATGTAAAGATAGCTTACGATTTTGGCGCCTCTAGGACTGGCGCCCGGGTCGGCTGCCCCCTTTTCAAACTCCTTCAAACGGTCATGCATTCCTCCTATCATTCATAATAAAAACTGGTTTTCAAATTTATCGTAAGTAAATAGAAACTTGTCGTTATATTATATACAGCGTCTCTGAATAAGTTGCCACTTTGTGTTCAGCTTAAAACTGTATCTTTTCACCCCCCCCCTTGCCCCATGTTGACATCTTTTAAAATAAAATAATTTTGGTAGGCCTATCCTACATTTTGACAGTTTTGAATGTGTTGGTGTTCGACGGAAAATTAACCTTTTAAATTATTTATGAATTAGGTAAAGCATAAATTGTGTCAAAATGTCAAACAATAGCACTTAAAAAAAATTTTTAACGTCGAATATCGGCATTGAAATTGGCATTGGGGGGTATAAAAATGAATCTTGTCCCCTGGCGCCAAGCACTCTAGCCACTGCCGGTGGCATAGAAAGGGGTGCGGATTGGGTTGTCCAGCCAGGTATCATTATTTCTTTATATTAAGGAGTGTCATTCTCGGACAATACCAGAGTTTTTATCGTAAAAGAGAGGGTGACAAAATCTGGGCCCACTGATGGTGACACTAATACTTGGTCACTTGGTCGTGCATCCATCGGGACTAAAATCGGCAATAATATTTATCGGAAATTAGGGAAAACTTGAGGGCGCCGATTACTCTTGAGCAGAAAACGGGGAGGGGTCTGGGGATCACTGCCCCAGAGAATTTTTGATTATTTCAAAATCAAGATTTGAAATATGGAGAATAACTAAATGCAGTATTTCTATCAGACTATTTGATCGGGGGATGGGATTTTTCAAGCGTCCGGTGGAGGTATTATTGCACCCGGTACCCTACATAAACTGAAGTAAAGTACCACAAATGACATCCAAATAGCATTTAGGTCTCAGGGACCCGGATACGCATAGCCGCTATTCAGCGCTATTCGAACTCGGGTCCCTTTAGTTGACTATTTAAATGCTAACTCTCACTTCTGATACCCGGGTCCGAATAGCCACTTCGAAGATATTAATGTAAAAAATGTGTTTATTATTCTGATATCAAAAAGAGAAAAGCAGTTGGGATTTTAATAAAAACATAAGTTAGCTTTCTTTTTTTTAAAACTTTTTTATTCCGGAAACTGTTTTACAAAAGTAGTGCATCTAAATAAAATCAAAAGCTTTCGCTAAAATTTAATGATAACTGTTGAAACGTGCACTATTTGAATGCCCATGTTAAAGTCTTAATTTAAGTTTTTAAAAATTAAATTATAAATTTTTTAGGTATATTTTACATAGCTCAACATACATGGAATCCAGCACCTTACAAATCATGCTAATAGTCTACATTTTTTTTTAAAAGCATATGGCAATAAAACATTTTATAAGTTACTTGAAATCCTTTCTTTATAAGTCATGCTTTTAGGATGAAATATAATTTGAAAACAGACTGCACATGCTTGATACTTAGAAAGAACTATATTATTATTATAGACCTTTCTATTGATGAAAAGGTAGTTTCAAAAAGTGTTATTAAAGTCTTTAAACATTTGAAATTGAAAAAAAAAAAAAAAAAAAAAAAAAAAAAAAAAAAAAAAAAAAAAAAAAAAAAAAAAAAAAAAAAAAAAAAAAAAAAAAAAAAAAAAAAAAAAAAAAAAAAAAAAAAAAAAAAAAAAAAAAATATAATTAAAATCATAAAAAATTTAAAAAAAAAAAAAAAAAAAAAAAAAAAAAAAAAAGCAACCAACAACATAGACTATATCATATATGCTAACAAGATGTCAGACTGGCTGAAAATCAAGAACGGCCAATTATAGACACAGTACGATATTATAATCGAATTGTGTAAGCTTCTAACAAGATTATTAGCCTTAAATAGACGGAATATCAAAATAAATAAGCATAGCGACATTTCATGACTGGTAAAAAATAAAAATTACAGTTTAGTATTTCAAAAAAAATATTTTTCGTTTTATTTTTGTCACATTTTCCCTTGGGGGTCAGTTGACACTCTCAGGGGATGCTTGAATTTAGCCTGAAAGAAACACTGGGTCTGGTTAAAACTACAGAGTTATATTATATGAGCTATGTTTTACACAAAAAAAAATATTATTGAATCCCTGAAGTTTCTGCTAAAAAAATATAATGAAACATTATTTATGGTAACACGCACAATTCGACAACTTTGTTTATTTTAAACGCAAATTAATTTAGTTACATGTGATTATTGTGATAAATAATAAATAGTACCAAACTGAGATATATCTTGAATTTATCTTAAATAGGTCGTTGTTGTGACAAATAGACCTACTAGGTAATACTAAATAGTAAATTGTTCTGAAAGTTGGAAGTTAAAACTTATTTACAACTAAATTACTTGCATACAAAAAGTGTTAGTGTTAACCTAGTCTAGGCCTAAATCATCAAGGTAATTTTTCTTGATTTTCTATTTTAGCCACACACAAAAATGGTAAAAAGGTTAAGTTTAGGGCTGTCATTTCGTTTTTTTAAAAAATGTATATGAATATTATTATCATGAATATGCCAATGCCAATATGACTAATACTAATATGATAATAATGCGATGTTTGGTGTGCTCTCTACCTCTGCCTCTAGTCTCTACTCAGTTACTCGTAACTCAGTGTTGTTGATTGTTGTAACTTTGTAGTGTGAGACCCTGCCTCTGAGTCTGAGACAACTAGACTCTAGCCTAGAGAGTTTGTAGAGAGTATTATTAGCGAGTATGAGTAGGACTTTTTATTAGGAGTCACAACTGAGTACTGACAGTTCAACTGATGAAATGAACAATTAAGCAATTTAACAAAGATAGCTTATTATTTTATTAGGCAGATTAATGAAACGGCTTACCAATGAAACATAATGTGTGTAAATGATGTAAATAAAACAGTATAATTATAATATTATATAAAAAATGTAAAATATATAATAATAGGTTAACTTAACCTAAGCTTTAATTATGGTTACCAAGAATACAAATGTAAAACTTTCGGAAATGAAAATGCTTTCAATTTTGATTGATTGATTGATTTGATATTTATATTGCGCCGGTATCCATGCCATTTTAGCATGCTCACTGCGCACTGGTCCTCTGAAATCTATTTTTTTAAAAAGTTTTTGATTCTTAAATGATTTTTTATCATTTACAATTCCTCTCAAAGATTGAGGCAAACTGTTCCATGATTTTGGCGCCTTCGCTTCAAAAAAACGCACTCCGTACGACTTTTTTCTGTGTTTATCCACACTAGGAACACTCAGCAAGTACTGTGATGAAGACCGCAGGCTCTTCACGGATACATGTTTATAAATCAGTTCCTTGAGATATTCCGGTGCTGAGCCATCTCTGCAGCTGTACGCCAGGGACAGAATTTTGTTGTTAATTCGCTCACTCACAGGAACCCAATGGAGATCTCGTAGAACTGGGGTGATGTGGTCAGATTTTTTCATCCCCGATACAATGCGTGCTGCAGTATTTTGTATCTTTTGGAGTCTCTGAATTTGGTTCTGAGGTAAACCCCACAAACAACTATTACAGTAATCTAATCTTGACTGGATTAGAGTTACTGCTACAGCATTGGCTGTTCTCCTATTGAGTTGAGGACGCAGCTGACCCAGGGCATGCAGACAGAAGCATGCCTTTACAACAGAACTGATATGGGGAATCATACTAAGTATACTGTCAATATAAAATCCAAATTAAATAGGCCCTGGCCTAACCCTAATAATATCAAAACTTTAATTTTACGTAAGACGTTTTTTTGTCATTAAATTAAAAATTAATTTAAAAGTATAAGTTAAATGGTTTTTAAATTTATTTAAATATATGGTTAATGCCAAATGATAGTACTAATTACTAATAATAAGTAACTATTTTGTATACTAAGGGGAAGTGTAGTCAGTGAAGTGCATAAATTTGTGACTGTGTCACCCACTGACACTGTGTTAGTGTGTAACTATGTAAAAATTAATGTGAGTGACCTGATTCTTTTATCCTGTTTCTGATTACTGTATAATAAAAAAAAATATTAATACGTCAAGTATACTGCATGGCATGAATAATGAATGCATACATTAAGTTATATTATTATTAAAATCAAGATCAGCTTCATCGTAGTATGATTCATACTTCTTGCTATCATCAAGGTAAGGCAAGGCTTACTATTACTAAGGCTTAGAGGTGATACTTCAACTTTAAATGCCATAAGCCCTATACTAATCATGTTGTAACCTGTAAATTATGCATGTTTATTTTATTCTTTTATTAGACTAAACATACTAATCTCTTGAAAAAGTTTCAAACTTTAAAAAATTATGTTTTACAACTACAACAGAATGATCACCTACTGTATTCGCAAAGCCCTGCTGTCCAGTTGGAGAGCAGTATGTTTAGGAACAGAATGTGCCATACAAGACAAAAGTTGTGATTCCTATCAGCGCTGTTTGAGCTCTGTAGCCAAGCATGTCATGCCCAAGAAGCCAAAAGGTGTAGCATATAGAAAGGTACCTTTTCTTCATAACCTCATACTTTTTTTTCAGTATGGCAAATCCTCTGTATGAAACAAAATCAATATCAAACAAATTTATTCTAAAATAGTGACAATTAGCTCTAAAAAGCATGTAGAATTATTTCATTCAATCTCAATGAAAAATGAAGATTGCTGTTAGTGGATATATTCATTGAGATAAAAGCACAGATAAAATAAACTATTGAACTTGAGAATTAAGATACTTTCTTCTTTTATTCTCCTGTCTTTATATTTCAAGCTTCCACAATCCATATTCCACCATTTCCTTCACACATCATGAACACAGTCCATCATTTATTAAGAAAAACAGTGGTTCAAAATTGTACCTTAATCAAGAAGAACTAAAATGATTTTTGACTTGAAATTTTTAAAAAATGAAACAGCCGACTGTTAATTTTTATCTCATGCCAAGTTAATTACTCTTCAATGGCTGAGGTTTTTTCATTCTGCGCATTCCTCCTGCCCAAAAATAGCTGCTGCAGTACTGGGCTGATGAATCGGTGATAAGATACTAAACCTCACTTTTATGAAGCAGACATGCTGAAACAATCCTTTTTCCTATGATGAAAAAGCAATGTTGTGCAACCATAGTGTAATTGATGGGGATGGGGATTATTATCTTAAGTATATTATTCAGAAATTCTTTGAAAAGAATTTAAAAAATAAAATAATTATTATCAAGTAAAAAAGTACACTATTTTCTACTGTTTCAATTCTATACGTAGGCTCGCCATTTTGTAGATTTCATAGAAGTTCAGGTGTCTGGAGGAAAAGGAGGAAATGGCATGTTGTCTTTCTTGTCCCTTCCAAAGCGTGAATGGGCGGGGCCTGATGGTGGTAACGGTGGTAATGGAGGACATGTTATATTTAAAGGTTGGTTGTATTTTATTATAAAGGCTTAAATAGTTTTACCACTGTAGCTTATACGTCATTTCAGGTCTACATGTTTTAGCTTCGCTTAAATTTTAAAAAGAAATCTTCAAATTGTTTTTTGGGTGGCAGAATATGAAGACATCAGTCAAGCATTTGAATATTTAAATACCAGCCTGGGCAAAAAAAAATTATTTGGCACTGACAGGTTTGCAGAATGATTTTCAAATCAGTAACTTCCTTTCTCCCTCACACCCTCTCAAGAAATATGTTACATTAAACAAACAACTATCTCTGAGTGTGGGGAATATCAAAGGCTAAGGAAATCATCTCTTATATATAAAAACTTGGATGGAAAACCCAAAAGTTCAGATTCTGCCATGTAAAATTATGCAATACTCATTTTCAAATCACTGAAATATAATATTTTAATGCCTGGCAAGTGTAGATCTCAATTCTCGTACTTCAAAGTAATTGTCGGGGAAAAAAAAGGGGGAGGGGTGTTGGGTTGTGTGTCATTAAATTAGTAGGTTAATGAAAAGTTTTAAATAAAATAATTGCTTGGCATTACATAATTAAGACCCCTAACTACTTGGGTAAGCTTTTGAATACCTTGCTGATGTGAAGAAAAAAACCTCCCACGAAATTTAAATAAGCCAGTAAAAATTTCTTTTATTTTAATTTTTATGATAATCCTTTGCCATAATCCACCATCCTCACACGCTGAAATAGCAAATTGATAGATGTCTGATAATAATTAGTAAATATACAATATTTTTTGTTATTAGCCAGTCATAGCACTAAGTCATTATCCCACCTAAAACCTGTGGAAGTTGCACCTAATGGTACGAAAGGAGGCACAAAGCAGAGAGATGGGAAAAATGCAGATCATCGGTTTATTGAGGTAAATGCTAGTATTTTAACAAAATAATTTTTTATAAGAGGAGCGTCATGACATGAAGCTCAGTACATTTCCATGATCATCTGGGACAGTTAAATTTATTTCCTCTATTTAGAAAGGATTTCATTATCGAATTTCCTCCAAAGAAGAGTTATATATCAAACTTAGATATTGACATAGGATGTAAGTCTTACAGGTGCACAGGAACAAACTATTGTGCTACTGTCATGATGTATGTAGTGTAATGTGGTATGGCAGAGTAACAAAAACAGTGAAAATGTTTCCATAACATAATTTCTGAAGGGATTAATGATACTAAGCTTTTAAAAAGTTCAAGATAATAGTTGACAATTTATTTCCATCTTTGCCAACACAAAGAGTTCTTATATTTTAAATTTTCATTAAACCACTTATACTGTTCTATTATTGATTAACAGCAAGAAAGTTAATTTGAAAGCTAGATCAGATTTAATACAACTATTTAGGACTGTAATTGCCCCAAAGGCAGAAAGTAAGAAAAATCATATACTGTATATATGTATATTATAGTTGTCCTAGAGTAACCGTTTAAAAAAAAAAAATTGAAGTCTCATTTAAACGCCAATGCTAACAATTAAAAATATTTAGTATTTTATATTGAAGTTTCTCTAGCAGCACATTTTGCATTAATAATTTATATTAATATTAACCAGGTACCATTGGGAACACTGATCAAGTCTGAGGATGGTCAAGTTCTTTCTTCGTTAGACAATGATGGAGACGTGTATGTGGCTGCTCGTGGTGGTGCAGGCGGGAAAGGGAACTATTTTTTCTTAACCAATGAAAACCGAGCGCCCGCAGTGGCTGAGTTGGGGGCAACAGGCCAAGAAAGAAAACTGTTTGTTGAACTGAAGACCATGGCCCATGCTGGACTGGTGAGTCATCTCCCTTTTATCCTCATGTTCATTTATTAGTGCCCTTTTTCCTCCAGTACATCCACTAAGGTTTTCACAATTTTTTTATAACTTGTTCATGGGGATAAAATGATGTGGAACTTTAAATACTGCATTTATAACAGTTTGCTTTAAGCATAGATCTTCCTTGATGCTCAAGATATTCAAGGGGAAAAATTAAATAATGTTTCTTTGCACAACACTAGCTATTCACTAACTTCTATTATCTAAAAATAAGATATCTCAAGTAATTTTGCCATACATAATAATAATGTGAACAATAGATTTTTATGTAATTATTTCATTTTACATATATATATATATCCATCCATCCATCCCTGTGGCGCTACAGCCCATGTAGGGCTTTGGCCTGCCTCACCACTTCCTTCCAGTCAGACCTAACTAATACCTTTCTTTTCCAAGCTTGGACTTTCAGCTGCTGTAGATTTTTTCTACATCATCTATCCATCTAAGCCTAGGTCTGCCTTTGAGCCTTTTTACTCTGGGGTATTGGTGATGCACCCTCTTCGTTCCTCTGTCGTATGGTATTCTCTCTAGGTGTCCTGCCTACTCTTTTTATTGCTGCCACTATCGTGGGATCCTGATATAGACTGTATAATTCATGGTTGGTTTGTATTCTCCATCCATATTCATAGTTTGTTGACCCATATATTTTCCTGAGAACTTTCCTCTCCCATGTGTTTTATAGGTTTTCTGCTGTTTTTGTTAGGATCCAAGTTTCACTTGCATATGTTACAACTGGTCTGATCAGTTTTATAAATAGTTTTCTTTGTTTCTCTTGTAATGTTTTTACTTTTGAGTATTTTCTGACTACTGAAATATGCCCTGTTTCCGGCTGATATTCTTTCTTTTATTTCTGTTAGTAATTCGTTTCTTTCATTTAACAAGGATCCTAGGTATTTGAATTGATTTACTTTTTCAAAAGTTTGGTTTCTAATTTTAATTGTTTCATCTGTTTGTTCCTCTCTTATCATGGTCATGTATTTTGTTTTTTGGTTGTTAACTTCCAGCCCTGCTTTTAGAGATGCATCTTCTAATTCAATAAAGGATTTTGATATGTCTTTAATACTTTTCCCTAGAAGTGCTATGTCATCAGCATATGCAAGATACTGAAGTGGTTGGTTGTAGAGTGTGCCCGTTGGTTGTGGGTCTTGAGTTTCCCTCAAAAAGTATCCTGTTATTGTTCCTTGAGAGTCAATGTGTATGTTTGCCTTGAGACTTACGGAAAGCGCACTTTCGTATTTGCTGGTCCACTAATTTGGAACGCCCTTCCTGTCGATCTCAGAAACAACCAGACACTGGAGTCCTTTAAAACCGATTTAAAGACACATCTATTTCGCAAACACCTTCTGGGATGATTGTCAACATTATTTTCCAGTTAATGCATAATGGCTGTGTTGCTTATGGTTGAAATGGCTAGAAAGACTTTGCCATTGTATGCTTGTACTTAGTTTTTGTCGTGTTGCGTTTGTTTTAAATGTGGTAAACTATAGATTTGTTTTTTTTTTACTTTGTACCGCGCTTCGAGCCTTTGGGGATGAAGCGTGTTTTTGAAATGAACTTTATTATTATTATTTATTATTATGTTTCTAATAACTCTCTTTAATGTTAGGTTAAAGAGCATACAAGACAGTGAGTCTCCCTGTCTTAGGCATCGTCTAATATGAAATTCCCTTGAATATTCTCCTTGAATCTTGATTTTGCTTTTTGAATTGTTTAGTGTTACATGTATTAGTCTTGTCAGTTTGTTGGGTATCCCAAACTCCTGCAGTTTCTTTTGATGCTGTCTTTTGATAAATCTTCTATTTCCTTTTCCCATTCCCTCTTTTTCTTCCTACACATTTTTGTTGCTTTCCTTCTAGCTTCCTTGTATGTTTGTGTTGTCTTTCTGGTTTCCCTTTGTAACATGATCATTCGTGCTTTGTTTTTTTCTTCCATAGTCTCTCTGCATTCATTGTCGAACCAGCCTACTCTATTGTTGACTAGCTGAAATCCCACTACTTTTTCTGCTGATCTATCCCACTGATCATTTATGTTGTTTTCCCTGTTTACTTCCTCGTGTGATGCCTATAATTGTGCTTCTACTTCATTCTGGTAAGCTTTTGCAGTTAATGGGTCTTTGGGCAGCTTTTGGTAATCGTATCGTTTCTCTCTTTGATTAGGACCATTGTGAACTAAGCTTATCCTCTGCCTATATTTCACCCTTACAAGTAGATGGTCCAAGTCCGCATCTGCTCCTCTAAGGCTTCTCACATCTAATATATCTGATCCATGTCTCCGATCTATTAAAACATGATTGATTTGATTGCGGGTGATTCTATTTGGTGATTTCCACGTAGCTTTATGTATATTTTTGTGCGGAAACTTATTGCTGCTGTCATCCCTTTTTCTACCGCAAAGTCTATGAGTCGGATCCCATTGTCATTGGATTCTTCATACAGACTTTCCTTTCCAATAGTTGGCATGAACACCTTTTCTTTTCCTATTTTGGCATCTAAGTCTCCAATCATGGGCGCCCGCTGAAAACTTTCTAGGGGGGAGGCAAAAAAAATCGATTAACTTTCCAGGGGGGGGGCAAAAATTTTTTAGTAATGTTTTAATGTAGTTTTAATTTAATTAGCGTATTTGTATGGTGAACGAACGGACAGGACATCAGCTTAGTTATTTTCTCTTTATTTTCTCTTTACTTTAATACATTTTTGTCTATTTTTGTCTAAAAAAATTTTTATCCAATCAATCGGGGGGGGGGGGGGGGAAGTGCCCCACCTTCCCCCATTTTTTTTTTTTTTTTTGTTTTTTTTTTTTTTTTTTTTTTTTTTTTTTTTTTTTTTAAAAAAAAAATTCTATACGCTGGTGGGGGGGGGGGGGGGGGGGAAGTGCCCCACCTTGCCCCTACCTGCGGGCGCCCATGTCTCCAATCACTATTTTAATATCATGTTGTGGTGCCTCTTTGTAGATCTTTTCTAGTGTCCCATATAAGGATTCTTTATCCTAATCTTCCGTGTCTTCTGTTGGAGCATGTACATTTATGAGTGTTATATTGAACATTTTTCCTTGCACCCGCAAAGAACACAATCTTTCGTTTTCTGGTTGGAAGCCTATGACTGCACTGACCGCTTCTTTTTTCACGGCGAATCCTGTTCCTAGTGTGATGGTATTGCTACCACTATAAAATATGGTGTATTCTTTTGTTTTGAGGATGTCTGAATTTTTCAATCGAATTTCTTGCAATGCAGCAATAGATATTTTATTTTTGACCAGCTGATTTACAAGGTTGGCTAAGGCTCCTGCTCTAAACAGGCTCAGTACATTCCAAGTCGCAATCCAAAAATCATGTCCATATCCATGCATAGGTCGATTTCCATTGGTATCAGTCCGAGTTTTGTTCTGTTGCTTGGCTTTCGTAACGTTAAATTTTTTACGTGGCCTGGTTCTTAACCCTGCGCACAACCGTCTGGGAGGTTGCCCCTTACAGCTCTCTGGATAGCTGCCTTAGTTTTTGGGTAAGATTCCTTAGCCTTTGTGGATCCCTCGACTTCCTACAAAGCAGTAGGTTCTGATTTTGGTCCGCCCCAGGTAAATTATTTCCCTGGTACCCTCCATATCTGGTGGGCTTTCCCCTATCCGCCACCTGGGGAGGCGCTCGATGGAAGATCAGTATCTCCACACGAGATATCTATATCTATATATTATATAATTTAATAAACTGAGCGGGGTGTCAATTAATTATGTCTAGAATTTTTAAGCAATTTTTGTACCCCCCCTCCCCCTTGTCAACAACTGTCAAACTTTCATTGACAACCCCCCCCCCTTTTTTTTTCCTAAAACAGTAGATGTTAAAATGAATTACTTGTACTTTGTATTGCTCTACGTAAATGACAAAAAAGGTACAATTATAAATAAGAAAACACATTTTTTTATCTTTTACTTGTTAATTAAGTAAAATTTTATAATAAAGAATCACTTAATAGATTGTTAAGAATTAAATATCATTGTTTTGGACGTATAAATATGATTATTGTCAGTACATTTAGCTGCTACTGCTGTCATCTTCTTATAGAGAAGCTAGATTTTCCTCTATTGTTACAATGGGCAAGTAGCTGATTTATCGTTTACATCTTGCGGAATTGATACACCCGACAAATCAACATCGTCTTCATTCAGCACTTTGTGGAAAAGGAAAGGGGGGGGGGTAATTTCTTAAGCTCGGATACATTGTGGGTGCTGTTACAGCATATTTAACTAATAAGGCATCTACTTTTGCAGAAAAATTATCCTTTTTCTTTGAGTCGTTAAAAATTGTGAATACTTTTTTTGTTTTGTTACTATCATGTTAAGGCTTACTTGGCCAACCCAAAGTTATCATGTCTAAACTCCTGCACATGTCCCCTTACTAGGAGAACACACATTTTCTTTTAATGGTCACCAAGAAATCTTGCTGGTTTCTGGGATACACATAGCTGAATTCAACCATTAGGTTGTTACACATAGCTGAATTCAACCATTAGGTTGTTACACATAGCTGAATTCAACCATTAGGTTGTTACACATAGCTGAATTCAACCATTAGGTTGTTACACATAGCTGAATTCAACCATTAGGTTGTTACACATAGCTGAATTCAACCATTAGGTTGCTACACATAGCTGAATTCAACCATTAGGTTGTTTCACATAGCTGAATTCAACCATTAGGTTGTTACACATAGCTGAATTCAACCATTAGGTTGTTACACATAGCTGAATTCAACCATTAGGTTGTTACACATAGCTGAATTCAACCATTAGGTTGTTTCACATAGCTGAATTCAACCATTAGGTTGTTACACATAGCTGAATTCAACCAATTGGTTTTTACACATAGTTGAATTCAACCATTAGGTTGTTACACATAGCTGAATTCAACCATTGGGTTGTTTCACATAGCTGAAGTCAACCATTAGGTTGTTACACATAGCTGAATTCAACCATTTGGTTGTTACACATAGCTGAATTCAGCAATTAGGTTGTTACACTTAGCTGAATTCAACCATTAGGTTGTTTCCTCCTGGTGTACGCAACAGGATTTAACCAGTTGGTCATTTTCTTACCTTCTCTACTGTTACAGATTGGCTTTCCAAATGCAGGCAAGTCCAGTCTCCTGAGAGCAATTTCCCGTGCCCAGCCAGAAGTGTCAGCCTATCCCTTCACCACTCTCAATCCTCATGTGGGCATGGTACTGTATGAGGACCATGAACAAATTGCTGGTTAGTATCATTAAACTTTGCTGATTTTAATGCAGTGGATTAACCACCAAAGGGGACCCTCCTACACAGCAGAATATTATCTAAATGATTGACAGTGGTTTTTTTTTAAAGTTTTAATTTTGAAGGAGCAATTCTTGCATCTCTTTCATCTATCAATTGATCCATCTACTTATCATCTATCTGTCTGTCTATATATCCACCTATCCTTCTATCCATTGATCCATCTATCTGTCTATCCATCTATCTATCTCTATCAATCTATCTGTCTGTCTGTCTCAGGTCTGTTTTTCTCTTTCTCTCTCTCACTCTCTTTCTTACTCTCCCCTTCTCTCCCTTTCTCTCTCTCTCTTTCTGACTCTCCTTTTCTCTCTCTATCTCTTTCTCTCTCTATCCCTTTCTCATTCTCTCTTTCTCACTCTCCCCTTCTCTCCCCTTCTCTCTCTCTTTCTCACTCTCCTTTTCTCTCTCTATCTCTTTCTCTCTCTATCTCTTTCTCATTCTCTCTTTCTCACTCTCCCCTTCTCTCCCTTTCTCTCTCTCTCTTTCTCACTCTCCTTTTCTCTCTCTATCTCTTTCTCTCTCTATCTCTTTCTCATTCTCTCTTTCTCACTCTCCCCTTCTCTCCCTTTCTCTCTCTCTCTTTCTCACTCTCCTTTTCTCTCTCTATCTCTTTCTCTCTCTATCTCTTTCTCATTCTCTCTTTCTCACTCTCCCCTTCTCTCCCCTTCTCTCTCTCTTTCTCACTCTCCTTTTCTCTCTCTATCTCTTTCTCTCTCTATCCCTTTCTCATTCTCTCTTTCTCACTCTCCCTTTCTCTCTCTCTCTTTCTGACTCTCCTTTTCTCTCTCTATCTCTTTCTCTCTCTATCCCTTTCTCATTATCTCTTTCTCTCTCTCCCTTTCTCTCTCTTTAATTTAATCATGGTTCTGGCATTTTTGTGTATTTCCAACTGGATGCAATCAATTTTTTTTTTATACTTTCTGTAAAATAAGTTAATATATGGCTCAGCAGCTTAGACTCCACCATGCGATGTTTGCTTTGGTTATTGTCCATGTCAGTGGTTTTCTTCTCTAATGATTGTCTGTTCCCAAACTACTAACCAGAAAGTGCATGTGTTGACTTAAAGTATTGTTTGATCATTATAATTTAGGACTATCCTTGATCTCCATATTCAAACCCAATGCTAAATTGAAAAAAAAAAGGCTTATGCTTTCAATCACATCAACAGTTGCAGACATACCTGGGCTCATCCCCGGAGCCCATCAGAATAAAGGTTTGGGAATCTCATTTCTGCGCCACATCGAGCGATGCCTGTGCCTAATCTACGTCATCGATCTTTCCATCGAATGCCCTCTGGAACAACTCAACCACTTGAAGTACGAGCTTGATCAGTACCAGCCTGGCCTGTCACTGAGGCCAAACCTTTTGATCGGGAACAAAATTGACCTGCCTGGTGCTGAGCAAAAGCTGGAAGACTTAAAGAGACACGTGCAAGGCATGGACGGCTGTGTGGAGACAAGGCCTCGAGAGATATCTCAAATGCCCGTGTTAGGGGTCTCAGCCAAACATCTCATTGGCATTGATGAGTTGCTGTATCAGCTAAGGGTTATGTATGACGCGTACAAGAAAGATGAAAAACCGATATAATGTATGCCTCACGTAATTTTGTTCATGTCAAGCCCTGTTTGCTGTATTGATGCTGTTGTTTGAAATAAATTCATGACAGCTTTTATGTATTGGGATTCTCTGTCTCTTATTTTGGTATGTGTTGTTTCATTCTCAGCATGTGTGCCATGGTCAATATGTGTGTTATTATCGGCATGTGTGCCATTGTCAACATGTGTGCCATGGTCAATATGTGTGTTATTATCGGCATGTGTGCCATTGTCAACATGTGTGCCATGGTCAATATGTGTGTTATTATCGGCATGTGTGCCATTGTCAACATGTGTGCCATTGTCAATATGTGTGTTATTATCGGCATGTGTGCCATTGTCAACATGTGTGCCATGGTCAATATGTGTGTTATTATCGGCATGTGTGCCATTGTCAACATGTGTGCCATGGTCAATATGTGTGTTATTATCGGCATGTGTGCCATTGTCAACATGTGTGCCATGGTCAATATGTGTGTTATTATCGGCATGTGTGCCATTGTCAACATGTGTGCCAT